TTATAAACCCCTAGGAAGGATAACTGAATCCCTCCAGTGGAATTATAACCCCCCGGGAAGGACATCTGAATCCCTCCAGTGGAATGTAGATCACCCTGCGTAAAGTTTTGAATTGTAAAAAGCATTTTTTGAAACCCCTCCAGTGAAAATAAAATCCCTCCGGTGGTCTCCAGTAGAATCGAAATCTTATTACGAACTTCTTTGAGTCATATAATCGACCATGTGGCCACAGCACTCGGCCCCCTAGCCTGTCCTAGCCGCAGCGCTAGGCCCAGAATGAACCTAACCTTATCCTAAATAATAATAAAAAATACTGTCAAAATTAAAAAAATTTGCCCCTTTGTCGCGTTTTTGACCCTTTGTCGTTTGACCCTGTGTCGTTTGACCCTATGTCGTTTGACCCTGTGTCGTTTGACCCTTTGTCGGTGAATCTCTTTTGGTACAGACACACATACATGACGTTTCTGCCCGCTTATTTAAAGCTGATTTACTGTTTTCACAACTTAAAAACTATATAAACGTTCTAAATGTTAGTTTCATGAGTTTTTTTTTTAAGAGTTCTTTGAGTTTACTTTTCAAAATTTCTTTCAACTCTTTCAACGTAATAAAATCCGGTAACCTTCTCCTATGCAGAATTGAATCAGGAATTTACTAATTACTCAATTAAATTTTTTATTTTGAAATGTAATCTCCAGATTTACACAAAATTGTGAATGAGCTGAAGAACCCAAAAACTAAAAGATAGTGTGACGCTTAAAGATAAACCCCGGTCTTAAATATAAATGCTAACTTTAACAGTTATCTAGATTTTTTGTACAAGACTTTAAAACCTGCAACTTACAATGGCCGGCCTTGTTTTAGGTTAGAACCAATCACAAATTCCAAAAGTTGTATTTTGGGTTACAAACATATTTTTCTCCTTGCCCTTTTTCTTAGATTTAAAGAAAGTCACCGATTTAGTTAACAGTATATTTTAAAATTTTGAATTCATTAAAAAAATACTTCTAATTTACAACAGGGTTAATCAGAAAGGCGAGACTGTAAATAGGGATTGATTGTTTTCCGTTTTCAGAAAACGATCGTTTCGTTTGTCACAAACTAGTATTTTATAATGCCTATACATTGCATTCTGATGGTGTCAACCTTTGATATTACAGAGTAATATTATTGGATCTAAATCTAAAGCAGTGATTAGGATCCGGATCCGTTGGATCCGCACGATTTTGGCTTCCTGGATCGGGATCCGCAAAAATGCGGATCGGGATTCAAGGGATAAAATATCAAACAAAACTGCAAAAAACTTTTTTACTCCTAATACCCAACTCTGAACTTTTGAAAAAAAGAGATTATAAAAATTTCTAAATGATTTATCAAGTTTTAGGATAAAAATAAGCGAAAAAAATAAAACAAAAAATTTGAGAATTATTTCTTGTTACAAAAAATCAGTAAATCTTAACGAAATGACCTGGATCCGGATCCGCATCAAAATTAAATGGATCCTAAGCACTGCTGAAGTTCCCACTTTTATTGGGACATCTTGTAGTCTGTAGTGATCATACAGTTTACATTCATATTCTTCTTCGAACAGCATTTTTTTAGTTCATTTCTGCATAAGTTTTAGTTATATCTATATATAAATTTGGCTTGTTTGTCTGTCTGTTTGTTTGTCTGTTTGTTTGTTAAGAAAATCGTATTCGTACCGTACTTCTTTTTAAANTAACTCCAACAAGCTTATAGGAATTAAATCTAGTGATCCCATCCCATCCCATCCCATCCCATCCCATCCCATGAGGGGAAAGTAAAAAGAGGGTTGGAGGTTTGATGACTAAAGTTTCCACCGAATTGGGGAAATCATTGCGAAAATTCGCGAAAAAGTTTGCGAAAGACGAAAGAAAAGTTTTGCATTTTTATCGCGAAATTTTTCGTTGACTGGAAACCTACTGATGACTGACCTGAGGAACATCTCCTTAAACCTTGTATTGGTCTCCTTGTCAAACAGCTGCCCTAACTTCTTCTCACCTATCATCATTTTCTGGATCATCATTCTTAAACACAAAAACATTTTTATGTTCATCCGGATTCAGATCCTGGATTCCGCATAGAAAAATAAAGATCCGGATCCAGGTCCCAACCAATTTTTTATAAGATTTTCAGACTTTATGAACAAATGCTAAATTGTCAAAAAAATTTCTTCTTGTAAAATTTTTCTGTGGGTTTTGCAGCCAAATTTAGTTGAGCGGAAGAAATATTTACTTCTTTAGCTCTGAATAAATGTAGAAAATAGTAACTATTTTTGCCATGAGATTAGTGATGGGCATTGAGCAAAAATTTGGTTATATTACATTTGAAAAAAAAAGATTTTCGGATTTTAAAAGCTTCCACAAAAATCTGAGAAGTCTTAATTTAAAAATTGTTCATTCTGAACAATTGCTTTCTGTACATTTAAACAAATTTACACCCTGAGAGAAGATATATAAGCAAAAATTAATCAAGAATCAAACAAAAAAATTATCATTTTAAACCAAAAACCTTAGAGCTCTTGTAAAACAAACCTAGTTACGAGGTTTGTTCAGTGAGTTTTCAGCGCCTATAAGTTATTTTTATGAAACTATTTTTTACTTTTTCATTTTTCCTTACTTTATAGTGAATTTCATTATGAACGTGCTATAAAGTTAAATTAGCTTTATGTTATAGCGCCGTGCTGTTAAGTTTTTGGACTTAAATCTCAATATTGCGAAGGTTCTCGAAAAAGAGAAAATTTCTGTCCAAAAACTTTATAACACTGCGAACCAAAATAACAGTGTTTTAAGTTAAAATTCCATTCTTTTTATCTCGGTTAATTTGTCGACGTATTTAAAGTAACCTTGACTTGACTATATGCCCTCAGCTAGTTTCAAAAATAGGTCAGTTGCAAAATCACCAGCTAACGCTTTGTGATTCGGGCTTTAACTCGACATTTCATTTCTCAAGTAAAACCAACCATTCCATGCCTTCTTTTTGAGCGAAAATTTTATGTTTTTTGTAAAAGAAAATGGTATTGAAGGTTTTAAAAGAGGGCGCGAAGCGCCCTCTAAGGCTAGAAAGAAGGGCGCGAAGCGCCTTGAATTTCTAGTAATATATAATATATAGTATATAAATCAGTTTTTGATAAAATACTTCTTTATTACGATGAATTTAAAAATACAATTATTGGTAATATATCACAGGGATAAAAGTACAAAATATTTAAAAAAAAATATTTTAAGTGTGTTTGTGAAATGAGATTTTAATTTTATTTTAACAACAAAAAACCCTCTTCCTACATACATCTAATACATAGATTCAACTTAGAATGAATCTTTAAATGGCAGGAACAGGTATAGTTAAAACAGAGGAATAGTTTTCTTGTTACTCTGATATATCAGCAAGCTTCTCCTTCCTCAATTCGTCCGGGAACATCCCACATCTGCAAATAAATAAAGGGTATTAAAAAACCAAGCAATTCCAAATAGATAATTAAGTACAATAGGTGGCATCCTAGAAATGGACAAATTATAAGAGACGTCACAAGGTAAAAGAAATTTTCTCAGATTAGTTGACATGTTTTCCAAGATTAAATAAATAAGTGTAAAAACAGAAAAAATTAGAACACAAAATTGCACTTTTTTTGCCGTAAAATAAGCACTTTATTCCAAAATTATCACTATTATTAATAATTTTGTCGGACACAAAAACTAAGTTGACACTTATGACGTTAGAATACAGCTGTACAGAGAGTGTACAAATTTTACGTTGCCATCTATTGTACTTTACATTCTATTTGAACAATTCAAACTTTTTTCTCTCAGAGGCGTTAATTATCACCCGAGCATACCGGTGGAGTTATAAACCCCTAGGAAGGATAACTGAATCCCTCCAGTGGAATTATAACCCCCCGGGAAGGACATCTGAATCCCTCCAGTGGAATGTAGATCACCCTGCGTAAAGTTTTAAATTGTAAAAAGCATTTTTTGAAACCCCTTCAGTGAAAATAAAATCCCTCCGGTGGTCTCCAATAGAATCGAAATCTTATTACGAACTTCTTTGAGTCATATATTTTTAATATCTGTGTAATACAGATGAAACAGGGATAAAGGAATGCAGTGCAGGGATACATGAATACAGGGATACATGAAAACAGGGATACATGAATACAAGGATACATGAATACAGGGATACAGGGATAAAGGAATGCAGTGCAGGGATACATGAATACAGGGATACATGAAATCAGGGATACATGAATACAGGGATACATGAATACAGGGATACAGGGATACAGGGAAACAGTGATACAGGGATGCAGAGGGATACAGGGATGCAGATGGATACAGGGATGCAGAGGGNAGTTCCAACTGACCCCCCCCCCCTCCTCCTCTCCGTGATGGGCAATAATTTGATTAGTCTAGAAAAGCGGGAAAAAAAACCATCGTTGTATGTTCGTTTTTTTGCAACCATCTTCTCTCAGGGTCAAAATTTACAGTTGACATATGTAAAACATTAAGTCCAAAAACCTTAAAATAAATATTGCGCGAACTATGTTATTCTAATGCCTCCTACAAACCTGATCTGATTAATCCTGAGATCCTCCTCTCTCATCCTCTTCTCTAGAACTAACAGTTCCTTGTCCTTCTCAGACTCACTGATAATAAATCAGCTATATTCAAAGTTTCTAACAGATCAAAGGCCGAATTTAAAGAATTTGAGCCGCGGCTCAAATATGGTTGATATCACTTAAAATTGTATTCCATGTTTTAAGATTTAAGATGGTACTTCATTGAAACTGGTTTTTGGCGGATTTGAGACGCGGCTCAAATTCATAAAATTCGGACCCAGATTAAAGAGAGGTAGCCCGATTCACAACAGTATTATTATTTCTTGACCAGAAATTCACCAGTTATAGAGAACCCACTAGCAAAAAAAAATCAAATTTCAAAGAGAAAAGTATCGATATCTCATCCATTTTTTAACATTCACAGCTTTAAGGATACAGTGGTGAATCGGACATGCCACTCTATATGTTCCTTATCTACGGTTCCTTTTAACATTAATTTTTCCAAATATCATGTTCATTGGTGATTAACTAGCTTGGCGCCTAAAGCTTTGCCTGAAAGTCAAATAGATTCTACAGAGCGTCCCATATCATATTAGATTATCTCCAAGTTTCAACGCCAAAATAAACCCATAATACTCGAAAAACCTTTCATTTTCCGCAAAAAAATATTAACCTTTTTCAATTTTTCAAAATGATTCATTATTCTTAAACTTTCTGATAAGTCCCGAAAATCGTAATTTAGACCAATTGACGATCTAATATGATGTGGGACACCCTGTAAATTTGTACACTCAGTACAGTTTACGTCTTACGTCATAGTTGTCAAATTATTTCATGTGTCCGACAAATTAGTAATATTAGTAATATAATTTTAGACTAAAATGCTAATCTTACAGTAAAATAAGTGCAATTTTATGTTTTCAATATTATCTGTTTTTACACTTTTTTTATTTAATCTTGGAAACCATCTCAACTCATATGAGAAAATTTCGCTTTTCTTTTTATATTTGACACTTGTGACGTCGTGTATAATTGGTCCATTTATACTTGATAATCTATTTGCCTTAAAGCTAAACTTTAACTATAATAGTCAACCATCTCAAGTTAGAATTTTTATATCAAACTGAGCACATTCTCGAGATTCAAAATCAAAATTTGAGGCAACTCTGTATATACAGGGGTTCATGAGTTATGAACGGACAACCAAACAAATAGAGATTACTACTTTATTGTTACCGTTCCTAGCTTGGGAAACCCAGCCTTGCCTAGAAATTGAAGTCAATTCAATCAAATTGGAATGTTTACACCACACTTACAACATTCCCATGCTTCTTTCAAGTTTCCCAATAAAAATAATATGATAAAATAAAATAAGATATATTATTTTATTCAAACTTTACACATTCTATTCTTCAGTCTCAAAAGAATTTGTCGTAATTTTCTCAACATTTCCAATTTTTTTCTTCATATTTCCCGATTCCGCGAAAAAAATTCATAAAAATACCAAGTTTTGAAAAAATTAGAAGAGGGTGAGAATATATTTTAAAAGGAAATATACTTGCCTGATAAATGAATAAATTAAAACTAAAACTATGATTACCTAAAGAGTAGAGGTCCAGCCTGATTCCTGAGTTCTTGATATTTACAAAGTAAACCGGCCAGCTTGGTCCTAGCCTATAAACAAATATTGTCAAGTACAAGGGGATATATTTTAAATAAAAAATGCCCCGTTTTTACCCGAATAAAGAACGTTTTTGTGTTAATCTCCCAAAACTAGAAACTGATGCGAGACAGAAATAAACGTTTTTTTTTAAATTTTTACTCGCCCCCCCCCCCCNGGGGGGGGGGGGGGGTTAACAAAACGATTTCTAGGTAAAAATCAATTATTAGGTAAAAACTAAGTTTGTATCTGATCAAATGCAACTTTCTTTGACGTTTTCTTTCCAAGCAAACAACAAAACCATTTATGTATCTAGTGGTGTTGGATTCGTGCCAACGCCAAGTCAAGAACTACAGCTTCCTACGCTTTCTAAACTTTCATAAAGTTCAAGAACCTCAAAAGCAATATCAACTAGATTTAAACCAGCTGCCTTGCAATTAACTGCTTTGAGAGTAAGATATTCCACTTTCAAATAATCATTACTGTACAGGGTGTCTCACACCATATTAGATCGTTTATTGTAATAAATTGAGATTTAAACTGGGGCTTATCAGAAAATGAAAAAAATTTCTTGAAAAAGAATGTATAAGGCTAAAAAAAATTCTTGCATAAAATAACAGGTTTTTTAAATATTATGTGCGTATTTTAGCGTTAAAGCATAAAGATAGCTATTTTATGTTCATGTCCGACCATTTATCAACGTTGATTTCACAACAATTTCACAAAATTAGAATGTTACCTCTATAATTTGGAACTCCTGCTCAGTGCCGATCTCATGGTGCTTCAGGAAGGACTAGAAATATATGAATAGGTGAATAAATGAACACTTGAATAAATGAATGGATGAATAGATAAATAGATGAATATGTGAATAATGACTAGATAAATAGGTGAATAGATGAATAGATGAATAGGTGAATAATGAATAGGTGAATAATGACTAGATGAATAGATGAATAGGTAAATATATGAATAGGTGAATAAATGAACACCTGAGTAAATAAATGGAAGAATAGATAAATAGATGAATATGTGAATAATGACTAGATAAATAGGTGAATAGATGAATAGATGAATAGGTGAATAATGACTAGATGAATAGATGAATAGGTGAATAAATGAATAGGTGAATAAATGAATAGGTGTATAATGACTAGATGAATAGGTGACTAGATGCATAGGTGAATAGGTGAATAAATGAATAGACCTGTATAACAACTAGATGAATAGGTTAATAGATGACAAGATGAATATGTGAATAATGACTAAATAAAAAGGTGAATAGATGAATAGGTGAATAATGAATAGGTGAATAATGACTAGATGAATAGATGAATAAATGAATAGGCGAATAAATGAATAGGTGTTAATGTCTAGATGAATGGGTGACTAGATGAATAGGTGAATAAATGAATAGGTGTATAACGACTAGATGAATAGGTTAATAGATGACAAGATGAATATGTGAATAATGACTAGATAAATAGGTGAATAGATGAATAGGTGAATAATGAATAGGTGTATAATGACTAGATGACTAGGTGACTAGATTAATAGGTGAATAAATGAATAGGTGTATATCGACTAGATGAATAGGTTAATAGATGACAAGATGAATATGTGAATAGATGATTAGATAAATAGGTGAATAAATGATTAGATGAATAGGTGAATAGATGAATAGGAGAATAGATGAATATGTGAATAGATGAATAGATAATGAAAAGTTGAGGTTAGGGGGTAAGTAAACTTTAGAAAAGTACGGAAAACTGAAATTTCAAATTATCTTTATCCTAAAAATATATACTTAGTTCCCTCAAAAATACTTAAGAAAACCTAGCGCTAAAATTTCTGTAATACCAGGTTGAAAAATGTGATTTTATTATTATAGTAATAAAAAAAATATAACCCTCACTAACATAACCTTATGATATATCTCTTGCTAATTAAGCATTGATTACCTCTGAGAGAAGCCTGTGCTCCTCTAGGAGTTCCCTTACATATTCCATCTCCTCCGGTTCTAGTCGTAGTTCATCACTCTTTTCCAGCCCAAGAGCTTCACTTAACGTCTAATAAACAATAGTAGATTACTCTTGACTTATAAAAAGGAGGGTTATCAATCAGTCAATCAATTATCTACTCAATCAGTTACTCAATCAGTTACTCAATCAATTACGCAATCAGTTACTCAATCAGTTACTCAATCAATTACTTAATCAATTACTCAATCAATTACTTAATCAATTACTAAATCAATTACTCAATCAATTACTCAATCAAGTACTTGACCGATTACTAGATCGATTACTAGATCGATTACTTGATCAATTACATGATCAATTACTCGATCAATTACTTGATCAATTACTTGATAAATTACTTGATCAATTACTTGATCAATTACTTAATTAATTACTTGATCAATTACCTGATCAAGTATCGATTACTTAATCAATTATTTAATCAATTATTTAATTAATTCCTCAATCCATTCCTCAATCAATTCCTCAATTACTCAATCAATTACTCAATCAATTACTCAATCAATTACTCAAATCAATTACTCAATCAACTACTCAATTAAGTACTCAATCAATTACTCATTCAATTACTTATTCAATTACTCTATCAATCACCCAATTAATTACTCAATCAATTACTCAATCAATAACTTAATTACTCAATCAATTACTCCAGAAATCAATAATTATTTACTCAATCAATCAATCAAAAACTCAATAAACTAATTATATTGTTGAATTCAATGTTTATGTTTATGTTTATGTGGTGGTTGATTCTAAGGACTCCTATTGGAGAATGAAATGAAATAAAATAAAACCAACCAACCAACCTCACCTGGTTGGTTTTTGTTGCCCGCATGACTGCCTGAAGGGAAGTGAAGTTTAGAAAGGTTTTAGTTCGAGTTTCAGTTAGTTTGTGCAACTGATCTGCAGTTACCTAGGAATTTAATCTGTTTTATGTAACTGATTCGCTAGGAATAGAGTCTATTTGTACAACTGATCCGGAGATACCTAAGAATATAATCTATTTTATGCAACTGATCCGGAGATACCTAGGAATATTCTCTATTTTATGCAACAGATCCGGAGCTACCTAGGAATATAATCTTTTTTATGCAACTGATCCGGAGCTACCTAGGAATATAATCTATTTTATGCAACTGATCCGGAGATACCTAGGAATTTAAACTTTACAACGTCAAAACGACTAGACCTCACATGTACGTTTTGTTGTGTGTGAGATCACTTATTATCCCAGGAAAGAGAAATACATGGTCAGAACGCCGATCAAATTAATTTATGCAAATCCACCATCAAAACCCAAAAATCCGCGAATTTGTGTTGTCTTTAAATACAAGTAGGGCGATAAAGGGAGGTGAGTATATTCACAAAAAGGATAAATTAAAAAATGCTTTGTTTTAAAATATTTACTCTTCTAAAAATAAACTTACTTCTTTGAACAAGTGTTTGTCCGTAACTCCATAAGTCTCAGAAAACGCAACCTTTTGAGCTCTGAAAAAAAATGAATCTGGGCGCACACTTCTCATGAAGAGATTCTTAGGGTACTCTTATGAAACTCTTGAAGTCATTCAATAATTTTTGATACCTTGCTTTATTTAGCTGCTCTCTGAGCTTGTCAAGTTTAGTTTGAAGCTGTGTAGCAGACTTGGTTAAATTCTCGTTATTAAACTGATCAACTCCTGAAGTAAAGTAAAAACTAAAAGAAGTCTTAAAACAGTCAGTTCGAAATAACAAGGTTAAGTAAAGGATAAAACTATATTTGTGTAGGATTTCATGAAATTTGATATAAAACCACTATGTTATTTTTTACATTATTAATGCATAAATTTGAGTGGGCATAAATAATGTCCACTTTATTCTACCAAACAAATCGGACATTTTAGAAATTAATTTGCCAAGCCTAAGTTAGTTAAGAATTTGGCTGTTTTAATGAAAACTAGCAGAAGGGCCCGGCGTTGCCCGTGGAAAAAAGATTTTTTTTAGCCTAGAACAACCCCCGGCCACCCATGAGTGTCCACAACAAATTTCGGCCCAATCGGTCCGGCTGTTTGGCTGGCTATGTCTCGTTTTTTTACATAGACTAATATTAGTAATAAGACGGAATTTAAAGAGAACTTCTTTACAAGCGCGTATACAGGATTTTAGATTTAGCGCGCGAATCCCTAAGTAACCATTTGTAGTCCCGATTCAAGGACAGTATAATATAATGTATCCCTCTGTAAAGTCCTGTAATACTCTCTGAAGTCCTGAGTAGTCTCTAGAGACTACTACCCTTTGTAGTCACTGTAGTCTCGATTCAAGGACTAAAATTTATAATTTATCCCTCTGTTAAGTTCTGTATTACTCTCTGAAGTCCTGAAGACTCATTAGTTCACCGTTCTCCTTGTTCTCCCTTAACCCTCCTCTCTTAATGTAATTTCCCCCTGACCTTCATGGGGGTTGCGGGAGGACATGCTAAAGACTTGGGATCCCAGCGTTGCTCAGGGTACTCATATTTACTCCTGCCCGTTTGCCCGCACTTGATCGAATTTACTGGGAAACTAAATGTTCGCTATAAAAATCGACTCACTCAAATTGAAATCCTAAAATTAAGCTAAGAACATTCAAAATTTGAAGCAAGTCGGTCCAGGGGTTCCTGAGTTATGATCGGACAAACAAACAGACAAACAGAGAATTGAGATTACAACTAAAATAAATACTAATTTGCTCATGTACAAAATTGATAGGAGGGGCGAGTGCTGGGGTGGGGGGTCCAAAAATCGTTCAATAGGACAGACCCTGGATGTCAAAAAAGAAAGGACGGCAGAACTCCAGCAGATTAACTTCGGGTCGATATTATATTTAAATCTTACAAGATGGGATTTTTATAGGGACCCGCCACCCTACCCCCTTCTATTTATTTCAAACATGCATCACATATGTAACCCGTAGGCGTAGGGTATAGATGTACATGTGGCCGCAGTGCCCGGACTTTTTGCATGTAAGGCCGCAGCGCTTGACCCAGAAATAACACGAAAGACATATTATAATTTTAAAGTAGAAATATTGTGTCATTATAGAAAACTTCCTCTAGAACAGACTAGATGAGTGCCGCGCCAAGAAGAGAATGAGGTCTGACATCGATTTCAAGTATTTTCTACGTAATTAAATTACCAATGATCGATAACCATGTACCATCCATGGGGGCCGGGGAAATTATCGAGCGGGGGGGGGGATTAATTATCGGATATCAGGAAACGACAGCAGCCACTAAGAATAATATTATAAATAATGAGTAATTTAGAAACGGGGCGCCAAATTTTCAAGACTAAAAATAAAATTAAGAACGCGGGCCGCGGCAATAGATTGATAGAATCAACAAGTTTATATATTTCTTCCAATGAAAATTAAGAAATTTTATTTTAAGAATCAATTTTGATTTTAATCTTTCAAAAATGTGTGCGATTTTTTGTTTTTATTTTTGTTTTTGTGAAGAATGATTTTAGTTTTTATTTGAAATAAGACGACGAAAGATATTAACGCGGCAATTTATTGAAAATGCGCAGTCAGATAAAACTCAACTTATGAAGCCTTTTAAATCCGCCTGAAGTGAGTTAAATAGAAAGCTTAGAAAGTTAAAATCACGCCGGTTGTTTAGGCGCTCGATTCATGTTTATATACTTTAAATTTCTCTAACTTTTAATTTTCTTTTCTTTTAGATTTATAGAACAACATACATTGCATAGAGTCAAGCAATGGCCTGTGAACTCCAAGGGTGCCTTGGTGCGCTATCTCTCAATGAAACAAGCCGGTAAGTGTAGTGAGTAGGATTTAATACGTTAAGTACTATCGGCGTTCCCAGGAAACATTTTTACCGACATGTGCCGGTGGCGAAGATGTTGGGTAAATAATTCTGCAGTTTTGATGTCGACGACAAAATGTTTGCAGTGTTATAATTTAAGTGACCCTCCTTCAAGTGCGGCAGTCCCGGTTGACAACGTTGCCCGGGTCTGTCATAGAGAACGATTTTTGGCTACCATGTAAGTCTGGGGGTTCTACTTAAAGTTCTCTTTCCGCTGATAATATGAGGAAATCTAAAAATTGCAATTTGCTTTAGGGGCCTTCGATGCTTTGCGAAAAAATAGTATAAATTTACTGAGAGGCGTGGTTCTATGGGGTCTCAGCGTATCAGGGCATATTATAGAGAACGATTTTTGGACCGCCCCCCCCCCCAGGCCTCCCCCTCCTATCAATTTTGTACATGGATCTTACAGAAAGTGTCTCAACTTAACCTAACCTGTGGCCGCAGCGCTCGGCCTACTAGCCCATCCTAGCCGCAGCGCTCGGCCCAGAAAGTGTCTTAACCCAACCTAACCCTAAATAATACTAAATAAATACTAATTTGCTCATGTACAAAATTGATAGGAAGGGGGGGGCCTGGGGGGGTTCCAAAAATTTTCACTAGGACAGACCCGCGTATCAGTTAAATCTATGGTGTCCAGGGTGGTTCAAGGTCTCAACGGGTGCTGAGAACCAACTACCTGTACACGCAGCAATGTCTACTTTTTTCACACATTTTCAGACATTTAACCCAAAAATTCCTCTTATCTCACTTAATTTTCTAACTCAGCGATCAAATCCCTGTAGAAATAAATAAAGTCTGATGATTTACAAGGGTGGTTTATTATAAATGTAAAGCGTTTATACATGTTTAGTAAAAAGATTGAGGATGTATACCAGGAAGATGAAGGGTTTAGTTCCGCTCCGAAAACTCTGTTATCCTTGTATAAAGCTGTAATAAGAAAACAGATTTGGGAGAAACTAACTCAAGATAATCAAGGTCCACTTCATGATAATTTCATGATCATTTTATGAAAGGGATTTTATGTCTCATGCTACAGTCATAACCAGAAAACTGTGGAATAGGAAGACGATATTATAGCAATTCTGAAGTGCAATTAATGTTGCTTAAAGCATATAGCTTCACTTAAAAGTTATTAAATTATTTGCTAAGTAAAATGGGTCTGTTTACATTGCACATTTGCTGTGCCTCATGTTCAATGCGCTATTAATAGTCAAATCTTAAGTTTTAAAGTCGAATTCATATTCCAGAGTTTTCTGGTTCTCACTGTAGTTAATAAAAGTATGTTATATTTTCGCTATTATAGAATTTAATTAAAATGTAGAAAGAAAACTTTACTGATAGTATTTTTAACTAAGAAAAAGGAAGTATTATTCAAGATGAAAAAATACAGAATTCATTAAATAATTTGAGAACTAATTAAGTCCTATGATATGTTTCTAAAATAATCTAACATGGACATACATCAGTCAGTAAACATGAAAAAGGAAAGTAGACCCAGCCCGACCCGTTAAAAAATAATTTGTATTTATTTTTAATTAACGCATTGAAAACATATAGATATCAAAACAAAGTAAGTCTTTATTTAATTTTCAAGGCCCAATATCTCACAAATATAAAAGTTTTTTTTTTTTTTAGTTGAACCCTACCCTCCCTCCTGTTGGGGCAAGATCCCGTACTTCTCAGGGTATTATGATGCAGTACGCCGTACTATCGCCACACCAGAGTATAGGAATGCTCAGGTGGGTGCTCAAAATTCTAAATTAATGCCAAATGAATCAGGATTTAATGGACGGCTTAAAAGTCGTTAGATATTTTTTATTAGTTGAAATCTGAGGACAGTTTTCAAACTAAAGGTACAAAAATAAGAGACTAAATTATGTAAATTCCTATACTTCGAAATTTTTGCATTACTATAACATCTGTCTTCACTCAAAGATCAGAGACAATTTATAAGTCGTATCATCTTTTTTTCAGATATATTGTAGACGACATTTGGAAAAAAAAAGATTCAAAATTTTTTTCTAGACGGTTAAGGTGAATCCCAGTCTAGCACAGATGTTATTACGAATGTTTACCCTTATTCACGGGAAGCAGTTGCTAGTTCCAAATCCATCGTTTAACGGTCGCTTCTACAATATGCTTAACTTGGACAGAGACAGGTTACAAATGGTAAATAATAATAATAATAATAATAATAATAGGAAATATTTTCAATTTACTTTTCTTTACAAATTTGTTTTAATCTTTTGTGAAGACAAATTTTTTAAATCAAAACTTTGTTTGAATTAAATCAAATATCCATTTCGTGTTAATATAGAGGGATGCCAAGATGAGAATGACCAAGAAGGGAGCTTATCAGTTCGGGGCGGATTTGATGAACAACTTGGAAAAGGTACTGCATTATTTTGCCACTAATCCTAGTTTAATGGCAATAAAAGCTGTAGTATCAGTTTTTTAAGATAACGAAAATCATTAATTGTTTAAGAAATAATAAAAAAAAACTAAGGCCAAATCCTCTTTAAGTTCTTCTGCGAAAGTATACCAACCTCCTGTGACCATTCCAGAGCTGAGAACTTCAGTGTATACACATAATCCTGATCGATTGATCTCGGCACATTTGATAAAAACTTCTGAATCTCAATATAAAAGTTTTTACTCAATTTTTTGTTTCTTGATTTTGAGAACGTTTATATTTGAAAAAAATTATCTGTTTAAGGCGGCAGCAATTGATTTGTTTGTGGTGGGAAGCGTTGCAGTCTCCATGGACGGGACAAGGCTGGGGAAAGGAATTTTAGCAACTTATTTAAAAGATTTTTTTTCTCTATTTTTTGGAATACAGTTGAGCCAATAATAAAATCTGAAACGAAAGGTTTTCCTAGAAAGCATGTTTGACACTTTACAGAGTGAACACTGAATGAAAATTAAACACAATTCAATGTTTATGTATATCAAAACTTTGCAAAGAATTGATCTTTAAAGGAGCTTCAGACGTATTTTCTACTTAGATTATGGTATCATGTCATTCGAACCAATCTTTATTGAAAATTAATTTTGCTAAAGGTCTAGGGTATGCTGAGCTTGAATGGGGTATCCTTTACGAGCTAGGTTTGTACAATTTCTCTGGACTACAAACGCAATTTCATCTGACCCTATTTGCAAAGATGACAATGCCTGATTCACAACCGTACCCTTAAAACCTTTTGAATTAGATATTAATTAATTGATTTGGATAACTGTTCTTTTTTCTCTACAAAAGTGACCTGCGCATTTCTACTGTAGAACGACATACCAGAATCATCTAAATTAAATATTTTAAAATCTAGAGAAGGTACGATATCCTCCACAATATAGATCAGATAAAGATTTCAAGGGTACCGTTGTGGATCGGGCATTGACATTTGTACATGGAGGGTCACCTCAAATTACGCTCACGGTCCCTCTCAATCAAGATTTAAGTCTGAGGAAAAGAAAATCATGACAAGTAATATTTACAAAATAAATCTGAATAACATTATTTGTACTTTTTGAGTATTATTATATCCAAATATTAACAATCAAAAGTACTATTCAGGACCATAGGGTCAAGATATCAACGATAACCTGCTAAAAAATAACTTTTGCTTTCAAAAATTACAACTGTTAACTAATTTGTAATTATTAGAACTCTCTTAATCTCTGATTGGTTCAAAGTTTTAGCATAAAAATAAACGAAAAAATACAAATATATTAGCTAATTGTTTATTTGAAAAAAAATTAGTAAATCTTGAAGAAATATTCATGACCTGGATCCGCATCCGCATCAAATTAAAATGGATCCAAAGCACTGTGTTCAGAATTGGTTAACAGGTCAACTACTGTTCAGGATTGGTGAACAGTTCTACTATTGTGTTGACAACTGTTCATGATCTACAGGTTGTGAGTACAACTCTACTGAACAGAACCCACTCTGTTGAACATGATCTTCCAGGGAAACTCAATGTTATGAAAGTTTCTCAAAAATTTTCTGAACAAATGTTTATCAATTATGTAGTTTTTTTAATCCTTGAATTTGAACTTTTAATAGTGATGCCTTTTTCGTAAGAAAAGTTGCATTTTTTTAACCGAACCATGGCCCTCTTTGTTCTGTAGTTGGGATATAAAAAAAGTAAAAAAAGGTACAATAGAAAATAAATTTATACGTTGTGTTTGTTAAGTTGATATTATCATTACTCCGTCACGAAGAATCAGAATTAAGAAACCTCAGCCCAAGGAATCCAATTGCATCATCATTCACACAAATTTATTTTTATAGTTTTCAAAATCTTATTTTAAGAGCTTTGAAGATTTTGTAATTTTTAGGAAAAATCATCGTTTGCATTATTTTTAATTTATTAAAAGCGGGTGGAGCAGAGGCGTTTACAATGCATGGGTACGTGGGGAAATGGAGGCTCCTACCCCCCCTTTTTTGATAGGTAAAATCTATGATAACCTGTTTTTTAGGTTTCAATAGGNGGGGGGGGGGGGGGGGAGGTAAAAAAGTAACCAATAATTTAAATGCAATAATTCTGCTTGGAAATGATATTTTGGAGCTTATTTGTTTTTAAAATGGTTTTGTTCTCGGCTAGTAAGCTGTCAATCAAAACTAGAAACTTTTGATCTTTGATGATGATGATAATGTTTGGTTTGGTTCAGCCCAGCTGTGGAATTCTTTGGGATTTGATCACTCCGGAGTTCAAGGATAAACTTAAAAATCTACAAATTGTACAGAATGGTGTACAGAATAATGCACAGGAAAGTGTACAGGATTATGTGCAGAAAGATTCACAGAAAAATGTACAGAATAATGCACAGGAGAATGTACAGAAGAATGTGCAGAAGATTGTACAGAAGGATGCAAAAAAGAATACACAGAAGGATGCACAGAAGAATGTACAGATTGAGGCACAGAAGGATTTACAGGAAAATGAGCAGAAGAATTTATCAAAGAATGTACAGATTGAGGCGCAGAAGAATGTACAGAAGAATGTACAGAAGAATGTACAGAAGAATGTACAGAAGAATGTACAGAAGGATGTACAGAAGAATATACTTAAGGATGCACAGAAGGATCCACAGAAGAATGCACAGAAGAATTATCAGATTGATAATAAGAAGGATAAACAGAAGAATGCACAGAAGGATTATCAGATTGATAATAAGAAGGATAATCAGGAGAATGCACAGAAGGATTATCAGATTGCTAATAAGAAGGATAATCAGGAGAATGCACAGAAGGATAATCAGATTGATAATAAGAAGGATAATCAGAAGAATGTACAGAAGAATGCACAGAAGAATGCACAGAAGAATGCACAGAAGAATGCGAAGAAAAATGTACAGAATAATGTAGAGAATGATGTAAAGAAGAATGGAGAGAAGCATGTAATGGAGCATGTAGAGAATATTGCAAAGAAGGATGTACAGAAGAACGCACAGAAGAATGCACAGAGAGACGTATACCAGTCTATACAGAAGCAATAATAGAGGCATGTATATTTTGCAAAGTACAAAATAAGTTGTTCACTTGACACTGGATTAACTTCAAAGTACTTGTAAACCTTTTTTGGTTTTGATTTATATTTTTTTCAAAAATTATAATTGTCAAACTTTTAGTCAGAGCTTAAATTTTTTAATGATTTTTTTTTTGTATGGAAAATTATGTTATAGCCTCGTTGAACTACTGTGATCTTTTATAAACGTTTTGGACTTTTTGTTACTATCTTTATCTGACTTTTGATAATTTGAACAAATTTTAAGATATTTTTATGAAAATATTTTGTGTATTATTTCAGATGTGTTAAAGAAGATAAAAATGGAGGATTACAGGGGTGAAGAGAGAGATGAATTTATGGATTTTTATAAACAATTTCGTCCCGGCCCTGCTAGGTAATTTCAACGCCGGTCGTACAATGAGCCTTTTTCTACACGATATTCCGTCCAGCAGTGCTTCATTTACTAATTAAAAAAAAATATGTTAAAGGAATTGTTATACTCTTAAAAATAAATCCCCAAACCAGTAGTATTTATGTTATTTTAAGTTCTTATTTCAATCCTCATACCTCCTTTTTCATTTTAGTATATCAGGTTCAGAAGAAAGATAAGAATTAAATTAAAAATGAAAAAGTGGGATTTTTGAGACATATAAACGAATTCTATAATTCTATTTTTAAGTCATCTTATTTTTTAAAAGGATAAAAAATTTTGTAACATAACTAAACTATCTGTACTGTACAATAGTTCCATGTTTACTGTTTAGGTCAGTACAGTGTGAATTACAATATTATGTTGAACATTTCTAGTATTTTTTAAAGTATTTGCTTTAATGATATTTTTTAACAAATCTAAGAATCATATATTCTCTATAGACGTTTAACTTTCATAGTAAAAGACAATCACAGCAATAAAAGAAAATTTTTGAGGTGTAATAGTAAGATGACTAAAAAAAGCAGAGGCAATTTTCCTAGGATTGACGGAAGAGTATCAAAGTACTCGATAATTGGCTACAACAACAGTTACAACAAGTCGAGAACAAAAAACTTATTCTTTTTCAAACAACCCCATCGAGTGATGTTTGACATAAAAAAATTAAAATTTGTTCATACTTTTTCAATTTCTGGGGGATTTCAAAAAAATGTTCTAAAAAAATTTAAACAATCTTGATTTTGGAAAATGTTATTAATTTTGTTCTTGGCAACATTTTTTAGAAAAATCTTAAATTTAAGAACAGCGTTCGAAATTTTTTTGGAAAGCAGAGGGAAACTATGTTAAAAGATTAAATTCAGACATAATAGCTCAATAAAAGTATCCCCATCGTATTACACTTCTATTTATTTTTGATTTTTATAATTTTTATTTTAGTGAACACAGTTCAAGGTCCAGTGCTCCCCGCTCTCTTTATGGATCAAACGGTAGTAAAGCAAGATTGATAAATTGAGTTTTGGTGAATTGGTTAGGTCATTGTTTGGTATTGATTGATTAATGGATAGATTAAGTCATCGTTTGTTTTTAATTGATTATTTAGTTGATTTAACTATATTGATTTGTATTGAATTTTTTTGATTAAGTTTATTACATTGATTGTGTTGATTGATTATTTGATTGATTAAGACATTGATTGGTATTGATTGATTAGGTCAATGATTGGTATTGATTGATAAAGTCATTGATTCGTATTGATTGATTAAGTCAATGATTGGTATTGATTGATTATTTAAGTCAATGATTGGTATTGATTGATTAAATCAATGATTAGTATTGATTGATTAAGTCAATGATTGGTATTGATTGATTAAGTCAATGATTAGTGTTGATTGATTAAGTCAATGATTGGTATTGATTGGTATTGATAGATTATTTAAGTCAATAATTAGTATTGATTGATTAAGTCAATGATTTGATTTGATTAAGTCAATGATTGGTGACTGTTCTTTGGACGTATTCATTGATTGATAGTTTGGTTGATAGCTAATATCTATCCAAGTTTTAAATAATTTTATTAATTTATTGATAAACCACTTTATTAATTGCGTTCTTATGAGATCTATGGATTATTTGTTTGATAAAGTTGATTGATTGATTATCGAACTTAACTTTTTACTTCCTGTTCGCAAATCGAAATTTGCTTTTTTTCTAATGATAGTTCGGAACATTTTTTCTAGATAAAATTGTATGATAAAAGTTCCTATTTTTTTCAGCAACAGCTCCTATTGTTTGAGAGATAGTGTTATGGATGACATCTGTTTTTAATTGGTTTCAAACGAATGCATGTCTCAAAGAGCTTTTGACGTCAAAAAAGTTAAAATACATGCTAAGATAATTTGAATTTTTAATGATAAAAATGTGTTAAATAAAGATTATTATGATTTACTTCCTGTGTACAGGAAGCGGAAGTGAATACGGGACAGCGTCCAGCTCTTTGTATGGAGGAAGTATAAGGTTAGTTTTTTCACTGTTTCACTTCAACAAACCCTTTTTACTTTAAGTGTTGTTCTCATTAGCACATTTAATTATTAGTAAGACTATTATTTTTTTCTAGTTTCAATATTCTGAAGAGACTGTCCGGTTTTTTCTATATGAACATTGGCAGTTACCTACAGCCAATCTCTCGTATAAAAATACATAGCAAAAGCACACAAAATGTCGTTTGGCAATATATATTTAAAAAATTATATGCTTTATCATTGTCTGCACAAAAGAAAGCTGCTGAGATGTTCCCAGCTTCAAAGGGTTGAAAACGATTTTTGAAAATATATCCAAATATTTGAACATGTTGAGAATCCGACATTATAACAACATCTTGCCATGTATTCATTTATCTGGAAGTAACTGCATAACAACAATATCTTTTATATTGTTAATCAAAAAGGTTTCTAAGTTACTGTTGTGAATCGTGCATTGTTTTCTTTGCATGTTGGGTACCTTAGAATCACTCTTTCAGTCCCTTTAAGTGTTAACCTGGGCAACAATTTAGAAATTTTGTTGCAGGGACAGCAGCATGGCGTTGCCGAGGCATAAAAAGCTCTACGTTAAATCAAAGGTTAGTTAGTTCAGACAGTGCCAACAGGGGTGTTTATTTGATTGAAAATTATTCCCGTCCTACCCCCCATTTTGAAAATTATTTTTTCTTTCCAGGTATGTCTTTAGAGGTGTATTCTCTAAATTGGGGGTAGAAATTATTATTAGGGGGAAACATATTTTTATGGTAAAACGTATATAAAATGATAAAGATGTTCTAATTTCTCCCGCAAGATCATCAAACCACCTGAGTTAATTCTTAAAATTCAAAGTTTTTGCATTTTAGATAATTTTTCAAATCAATCCACTAGATCCTATCCACCTCTCCTTAGTTCTACTAGATCCTATCCACCTCTCCTTAGTTCTACTAGATCCTATCCACCTCTCCTTAGTTCTACTAGATCCTATTCACCTCTCCTTAGTTCTACTGGATCCTATACACTCTCCTTAGTTCTACTAGATCCTATTCACCCCTCCTTAGTTCTACTGGATCCTATCCACCTCTCCTTAGTTCTACTAGATCCTATCCACCTATCCTTAGTTCTACTAGATCCTATCCACCTCTCCTTAGTTCTACTGGATCCTATCCACCTCTCCTTAGTTCTACTAGATCCTATCCACCTATCATTAGTTCTACTAGATCCTATCCACCTCTCCTTAGTTCTACTAGATCCATAAAAATAAACAAAATATCTTCTCGTCACATTTCAAATTAGTTGCTAAGATTTTGAAAAATTGAAAAATTATCTAGAAAACACTTGAAATAATTATTCGTTATATTTGTCTTTAAAACATATTTAAAAATTACTAGCATTCCCTTTATTAAGGTTTCCGAGTGCCGAGTCAAGGCTCGAGGATACGATTAGTAGGGATTCTGGTAATTCCAGCGGAGGCACGCCGGAGGCTGGTCGGAGGGGAACTATTATCAGGTAGAAGGGATTCTGGAAACTGTATCGGAGGAAAAAAATTTAAAGGTCTGGGGCAAACGTGAGGCATGACGGAGAGGAACAATTATCAGGTAGGAGGGATTTTGAAATCTCAATCGGAGGCATAAAGTAGACAGGAAGGGGAATCACAAGAGGTAAGTCGAAGGGGATCCATTATTAGATAGGAGGGATTAAAGGAGCTTTATTATAAGCATACTGTAGGCAGGTAGGAGGTATTTAAGTAGCTCCGTTGGAGACACATATGAGGCAGGTCGGAGGGGATCCATTATCAGGGATTTAAAAACCTCTGTCGGAGGCTAATTTGAGACTGATGACACGCTCGAGGGGGAATTATAATTAATAAAGAATAAAAACTAGAATTTTATAATGCATAAATCACACCCTTAACTCTGTAATTGATGGTACAATATTTTTTGTTTCAGACATAACTCCTATCCTTCTCCCTTCATGAATTCTTCTGCAGTTCAAACCTTTACAGAAGATCATTGTGACAGGTTAAATACAGAATACATTCACTAAAGGTTTCAATTTGTATCCAGATTCAGATTGGCTTAGCAGGGATTTATAGATAACACGCCAAGGATGAAATAAAAATTGGACATGAAAATGCAAATTTTGACATGCTCTTAATACTTTTTACAGAACTTTTTTTTCCCAATTCAGCGAATAATGCCCCCCAATGAAGTAACAATGAATGCCATAAAAAAATCTTAAAATTACTCATTGAAACTAAATTTCAGTAACCAATAACCATCATTTTAAATCAAAATCAAAAATATCTACATAACAAGCTCTTCGCTCATATGTAAAATTTGTATTTATGTGCCAGCTATAACTGGCCAAACGAATGGACCAAATATGCTGATATTTTTTGAGTGGACTCTTGCTCATACAGGGGGTAACGAAGGCTTAAAAAAACTAAATTATTTAAAAAAAAATTTTTTATTCCACGGGCAACTCCGGGAACATCAGCTATTTAATTTATAAATTAAATTATGGATTAAAAATTTTATTATTGATTAAATAAGTATTTATTAAATGGTAAACTTACTATTCAACAATATGTTCTAAACCAATTTTATATTTTTTTATATGATTGATTTAATTGTCTGATTGATTGATTGATTGATTGATTTTATATGATTTTCTGCTGATCAATTAATTGATTAATCTAGTTTTAGGTTAATTTCTTACTTTCTGTTTTTTTGATTGATTGTCTGACGGATTTTCTGATTGATTGACGGATTTTACGATTGATTGACTGATTTTCTGATTGATGGACTGATTTTCTGATTGATTGACTGATTTTTTGGTTGCTAATTTTCTGATTGACTGATTTTCTAATTAATTGACGGATTTTACGATTGACTGACTGAATTTCTGATTGACTGACTAATTTTCTGATTCATTGACTGGTTTTCTGATTGATTGATTGATTGATTTATTGATGTTCAGAAAACCGTATGATACAGTATCTTTGACAACGGGTGGACCCAAGTACAATGATGATTCACTTTCTGTTCGAAGTTTAGATTCAAACTCTAAGGTTAGATTTAAAAATAAAGCCGACTTTGTCTCCAATAGAGACAGAATGTTTTTATTTAATTCGTCTTAACCTGAGGCCGAATTTAAAGAATTTGGGCCGCGGCTTAAATTTAAGTCGTGGCTTAGATATGGTTGGTTCCACTTAAAATTGTATTCAATGTTTCAAGATTTAAACTGGCGCTTAATTGAAACCGGTTTATAGCGGATTTAAGACGCGGCTCAAATTCATTAAATTCGGACACTGCTGTAACTTTTCATGTTGTATAAATGTACATTCAACTTTCAATGTATTTTTGCCCTCTCAAACGTATCGTCTTATATGTGGTTTTAAATCCACAGATGATTAATGATCGAAAATAATTATATTCTGAAAAAATATGTAAGTATCGTTTTAATAGTCTACTTGAATTTTTTTTTTGGGGGGGGGGCGTAGTTCTATTTTAGATCTACTGGTTTTTTAGAGTTGAATTGGTTTTAATTTTTAGTTATTATATTTTAGACTTGGTCTCCACTATCGGAGGAGATGCGGCCTCACCTCCTCCGACGGAACTGTGCATCCTCTGAGGCTAGATCTCTGGAACCAACTAAACCTGAACTTAACTCTACAGAATCAAATTATAAGATTGAGAAGGTAGCTAAACCATTCATGTAGAAATATTTATCTTTTAATTAATCTTAAAATATTTTTTAGTTCAACCCCAATCTTGAGCACTCTATTCCTTAAGATTGGATTGGTTGGACGTGTATTGAGAATTCTAATCTTTTCTTCCTTTAGATTTGATTGGTTGGACGTGTATTGAGAATTCTAATCTTTTCTTCCTTTAGATTGGATTGGTTGAACGTGTATTGAGAATTCTAATCTTTTCTTCCTTTAGATTGGATTGGTTGGACGTGTATTGAGAAGGATTCTAAAACTGTTCTTCCTTCTTCTTCTTCTATCTGTGATATTCTTCTCCTTTATCCTTATTCTGGAAATAGGGAAGAGAACATTTATAAGATATTAACTACTGCTCAAAAAAGATTTTTTTAAATTAAGCCTTTTTTCATGCCTTAACATGAATTATTGCCCCCCCCCTCTAAAAAATATGTCTTTAGAATAACTTCATTAGCTAGAATATAGAAAAGACATGAATTTTTAAAATTTCATTAGAATTAGAAAAAAAGACGTCCTATCTTGACTGAGCGCCAAGGTTAGGACAAGCGTGCAGCCCCATTGATATGTTTTTGTGTTTTAAAGATGCGTAATTTTCTCGATTGAACTTAACGCCTTCGCCGGGGAGGACTCAAAAGAAACTAAGGAGTTCATTTTTTTATGTTCTCTTTTTAGTTAAAAGTTACAAGTGTATGAGTCAAGGAAGGTAGGAATTTTTAGTTTTAGTTTAATTGCAGTTTTAGTTTTACAAGGACTGTGAGCGCAATTTTAAGTAACCCCATATATGATAATATGACAATGCCCTATTAACAACGCTTTGTCTGATCAAGTATTGTTTTAAATTTTAAATGCTAATTATTTTCAATTGTGGCGTCTCCACGAAAGTGGCTTTTTTTACTTAAGGAAAACAAATAGGAATTATCAGAATTAAAGACCTATAAAAACGACAATATCTTCCATATTTTTGGGCAGACTAAGGTTTTAGGGGCACGGTTGTGAATCGCGTATTTCCATCCTTGCATGGAAGTTAGCTTGAAATTACACATACAGTCCCTTTAGGATATCTTTAACCAAGCAATTTACCAGAACGCCATTATCTTTCTTAACATTAAAAGTGTACTGTAGTTTCTGGAGAAATAAATACAAAACGTGGCACTGAGTTTCTTTTCATTTCTCCTAGAATCTGCAGTACACATTAAATAAGCCAAAATATTGGATTGCCTGGTGTAACACAGTACCATAGGTTATAATCCTAATTTCAAAAGATCAGCCGTTTATAGAATCGTTCTCCCGATTCACAATGGCACTCTTTAAACCTAAATCTGAGAAAAATGAGAAAGATATTGTCGTTTTCCTTTTTTGGAAAAAATAATATTCTTCCAATTTTCTTCCTCTTTTTCTGCTGTCTAAATCCGCAAGTCATCTTTATAGAGAAACTTTATGAGAGCAGCAAATAAAAATAAACAATTTCCAGGTTTAATTGGTATCTTTGTGAATAGACAGGTCAGTCTATAAAATGAATAGACACTGAAAATTAGTTCTTTTATAGGCTTCTGATTGACACGGACGAACTATCGGTGAAACTAAAACAAAACCTGTTTGGTCAACACATTGCTCAGCAAGAAATCGTCTCTGCCATAGGTATGCAACGATCTAGCACTACAAACTTACCGAATCCTTGTCTCAAACTCTAATCTATCAGTAAATCCTGACTGTCCTAACAGCTAAATATCCACTGTCATTTAAACAGCACACCGTCCGTACTGAACAACGATTGATGTTGAACTAATTTATTGATAACAGGTAAAATAGATTGATCGGACAGGCCGGTCAGAGTACAAACTAAAACCATAGATTACTATAGATAAACAGAATATACAGCTGCTTCTAGGTTTGCTACAGGTAGGTCAACATTTTTCATGAAATTTTGTAACACTTTGATTTCGCGCTTAACATTGGCAAAATTGAAATTAATACCTTGAGGAAACTTCAATGTAAGGACACATCTAAAGCCAAGGTAATAAAGTAAGAAAAGTTAATTCCTGTTGCTTATTCTCTGCGTGCATATTGAAACCAGTTCTCTCTGGGCGGTCTTTGTTAACAAGAATAGATGCATCAGTGTTACTCTAGTATCCGAGGAGTATTAAAGCATTTGATTTTGATAATTTTGATAATTCACATAATAGTTTCCTATGACCAGAATATTTGATTGATTTTTTATGTGAAAATAGATCCCATGTCAGGCAGTGACATCTGTCTTGTGTTTACTTTACCGCCCAGAGACAGTTTACTGCAGTACGAAAAATGCGTGTCACCTCTGAAATAACTATCTTTACATTATAATTCTTTGTCTAGAGCTATCTTTATTGTATAAAAAGATTTGGAACCAAAATAATTTTATAAAAAAAGATTACATTAGAAACTAACTGATGAATATTTGATTTTGTTAGAATATGATGTTTTTGTTTTAGATAGTTTTATAAACGAGTCTAGTGATTCAGGGGGCAAACCACTTCTAGGAAAATAATAAAGACCATTAAAATATAGAAATTTAAGTTTTTAAAAACCATAATCTAAATATTTATTTAGAAATCTAAACCTTTTACAAGCTTAAAATTAAACAAAAGTTTTATGTTTTAATTTTATTGTAAAAAAGAATCAAAAATGTTTTTTTTTATGTTATTTTACAAACGATAAAAAAGGATATTAGAAATAATTCTCTTTAGAAAATGCTACTTAAACAGGGTATTGGGTCAAAGTTAAAGACTAAATTACTTAATTCTGTCTGCTTAAAAAAGTAAATGAGGTTACTTCCCTTTGTAGTTACATCCATTTTTTACTGTTATCCATTTCTTCACAATGTAGTTCATGAAAGCAATATTTTTAACATTGAGAGGGCCAGGGTGCAAAACCAGGTTATCCCCCCAGTGGGGTATCAGGAGGGGGGGTATTCTAGGTAATAATTCAGAAAGTTTTAAAATCTTGCATGAGAAACCTGAAGAAAATAGTTTTTAGCTGGGGGTCTTGTTCGATGATATTGGATAAGTCAATCTGCAAAACAATTCAGAGATGATTTTAAGAATGTACACGAGGTCTGGAAGTCTTTACCTACCAAAATTCCAGAAGAAATTCTGAGGCGAAGCATTTTTCGAATTGTCTTCTATTATAACCAATATTGAGTTTACACCATGAACGTCTTATTTAAGACAAATAAGGCTCCGCCGCCGGCTCTAAGTCGTCGCAAATCTGACGGAAAACTGGTGATTTCCGTGAAAACCATTATATTAAGTATTTTATACTTGCGACGCCCCCAAACCTTTGATTTCTGGTCATTCGAATTGTTAAATTAAAATTAAAAAGTTAATATGTTGAAAAATGGTCATAAGAAATAGTAAGGTTATAATGCAAGGAAAGTTGATTGCAGTGCGTATACTCCGCGTACATATTGAAACCAGTTCTCTCTGGGCGGAATTTGTAAACAAGAATAGATGCATCAGTGTTTGATTAGTGTCCGTGGAGGATTAAAGCATTTAATTTTGATAATTCACAATCACATAATAGTTTCCTATGACCAGACTATTTCAATGATTTTTTGTGAAAAGTGGATCCCATGACAGGCTGTGACATCTGTCTTGTGTTTACATTTCCCCCAGAGACAGTACGCTGCAGTACAAAAGATGCGTACACCTCTGAAATAACTTTCCTTGCATTATAACCTTGAAAAATAGAATCTATTTATACGTTTAGATTATCCTAAATCCGTTTTTTTACCTCTCCTGTGTACTGTATAACCTTATGACCTTTTGCCAAGTTTAGGATCCATACATGGATAAATATATGAACAGAAAAAGTAAATATAAATTGAAATCATTATAAATCAATGCAAGCTACAATTGAAACAATCTTAGTAAATGAAAAGAATTAAGAAACAATAAAATGGTCCATATCATGAAACGAAAAGCATATGCATTAATTTAAACGGAAGATTGTGACTAAATTAACCCCTCTAGTTGACTTAATGGGGAAAAGAATTAACGTACCCAACACTTTTTTGCAGACATGATTTCGTATTCTTGATACGTGTCTTTATGTGTGTTAGTGCTGATCCTAACAGGATGGTTGGGAAGCGGGAAAACATTCACTACTAGTCTTATATCTAGTGTCTTCCCTGTTCCCGGGAACATTCATTCAATCATAGGTAAATATGTTCCTTGTTTCTATGAGCGATTTGGCATGTTCTATTTATAACTGTACCCAATTGTTTTAACAATTATCCCCCCCCCCTTTTCCTATCTAAATTTGTTCGATTGCGATTGCAATTAGTCAGGAGAAGAAAGAGAAAAAATTAACTGATGACATCCTCCTTTTTGCACAGAAATAGGCTTAAATGGTATGATTGCAAATCGGAAATGCCATACCGAAAATGGAGGGGGTCATGGTCAATCACTTACATAGTCCCTTTAAAGTCCAGGTTTAGAGATGTGTCTTCGTCTGTATCACGTGACAATGATACTGCACTGCCATTGGTGGAAGTTCTGGTCACGTGATGCAGACTTTTTAATTATATTATCAATTATATCTATTTAAAATGAATAATTATTAAATTCAAATAATAAAAGGGGAACACCTAAGTTATTCAGGCTCCTCTGTGTTATTATTGTATTCAGAAAATGATCTGTTAAAAACTTAGATTCATATACCAAATCTCACATATAAAGGTTTTGGTATAACTTTGACCAGTTTTATATCAATTTCTCGAGACATGAACATCAGATAATTATTATTAGTATTATTATTAAACTAATCTTCTGTGGATAGTCTGGTTCCCTAGGAAGTCACACCCATCAGTACTCCCTCTAGCGGTACTTGTACAACCACGCCTGGGGTCGTGTCTGTTTAAAAACTGCTTAGGGCATGATCTATTATTGAACCCTGGATGTAAGCGCACCGGCGCGGGTGTTGGGATTTTGGGAAACTGAATAAGCCGACTCCCCAGGTTGACTCTTTTAAGTCTTGATCAACTCCTAAAGTGCCTAGGTTTCAGCCTATACCCCCATTAATTTTTCCTTTACAGTCTCTCTAAAATTTCATATTTTAGGAACTTATCTCTCCTCTTCTAGTTTAACTGATCTACATAAAATTATCTCAAGATCTTGCGGTTACAATCTTCTCATACTAGGTAACAAATATACGGATAGCTAATTTCGGAAATTAATTGGACATGAAAAGGCAAGTTTTTTCATAATTTTTACGCAAAAATTTCCCTATTTTCCCTTAAAAATCACTTGGCCTTCCGGCGAAATTTCTTAATTTGTACAATGTACATGCTAATTATAGACTAATGAAGCATTAATTTTAATTTATAAAGACGTCATGATATCTATCATATGATAACCTTATTCATTATATTTTTTTTGTAACAGTAGCACATCTACACGCTGAAATCAGCGACAGTTTTGAAATTCAGATCAAACAATATATTTGTGTAGATAGCATTTGCAGCATTGTGAAATTTACGTCACTTACCCGTATATCTTCCGACCAGCATTTGTTTTCATAAGATTTTTTAATAATACAGAGCGTCCCATATCATATTAGATTATATCCAAGTTTTAATGCCAAAATACGCACATAATACTCAAAAAACCTAGTATTTTCTGCAAAAAAACTGTACAAGATTTGTAAAGACGACTTTTATCGTAGAATTTAAAAAAAAAGTTCATGTTTTGCATGGTCCGAAAAATGCTAAAAATGAAAAAGTAAACATTGTCGCTCTAATACATTTGAGGACCAAGACATTTTCTTCCTGAAAATATATTATTTTTATTTCTTATATATGACTTCTCATGAGTGCACCGACGTTGAACATCTCATGGTATTAAATGCGGTTTTTCGCAATTTACTATTTATAAATTTATTTAGGTATATAATAGCTGACGATAATCTACTCGAAAAAACTTTTGGAACACCAAGAAAAAATCATTGCTCAAATAAAATCTCACATTTTGGTGTGCGATTCAGTAAAAGAATATGCTATAATCCAAAAAAGGGTTAATTTGTTATAAAATCAATTAAAATTTATATTTTAAAAATGTTTAATTTTAAATAAGACCAGTTGTGCCTGACTGACGCGGCCTAAAAGAAAAAAAAAACTATTCTCAGATTTATGATAATTGCCTTTACAAATTAAGACATTTTGCCGGAAGGCCAACGGGTGAGGGTCGGACGACATAGGAGTAAGTGCATGCCGCAAACACGTTTTGTGAAGTCATCTGCGGGTCGGATGGCAAACGGGTGCGGGTTGCCTTCCTCCCCTCGTGGTGAAGAGGTAGGACTGCGTAAACTGGAAATAACGTTATAATGTTGTTAGATGATGTGGATAGTGGTGAAGAGGTAGGACTGCATAAACTGGAAATAGCTTTATAATTTTGTTAGATGATGTGGATAGTGGTGAAGAGGTAGGACTGCGTAAACTGGAAATATGTAATTTTGTTAGATGATGTGGATAGTGGAGAAGTGTTGACACAAATAAAAGAACAACAGGGATATTCGGTAACTTTATTGAATAATTGCATGAAATGAGAAATAAAAGCAAAGTTTAAAAATATTGGCCCTTAATTGGGAGTATCTAAACGGTTGAAAATGAAATAACATTGATTAATAGTGTTGAAAGGAATGGAACAGTTGGAGCTTCATGATGGTCAGCTCACAGGTGTCAGCATCTTGNTTAGATGATGTGGATAGTGGTGAAGAGGTAGGACTGCGTAAACTGGATATAACTTGATAATGTTGTTAGATGATGTGGATAGTGGTGAAGAGGTACGACTGCGTAAACTAGAAATAACTTGATAATGTTGTTAGATGATGTGGATAGTGGCGAAGAGGTAGGACTGCGTAAACTGGAAACTCTTCTAGTCTCGCTAGCGTCAGAGGTGGAAGCTCAGAACAATGGAACTCTGGTTTTATTAACAACCAACATAGGAGGGCATTCTATCAATAGGTATTCAAGTACTAATATTCATTAGCTTGGGAACCCGGCGTCATAGTTAGTCCCGCCGTTTACCCGCGCTTAGTCGGACATTACGATTTTAACTATTTTTCTCTTTATAAGTTGATCTACTTAACTTAGAATCTTAAAACCAAACTAAGAACATTGAATTTCACAATCAAAATTTGAGGCAAATCGGTGAGGGAGTTCCTGAGTTATGATCGGACAAACAAACAGCTAATAAGAGATTACAACTTTATATAGAGATTTTTCATTTCTTTTACGGGATTAATTAAAGACGGTCAGAGCTAAAAAATTGGATATTTAAATTTTGTTTTTAATCCACCAATGAAAACGGAAAAATTTACGAATCTTAAATTGGTTCTGTCAATTTTATGAATGTAATTTTTGTTGGTCAACTAAAGAATTAAAAGGGGAATGTCCACATTTCCATACAAAGGGTGGGGGGGGGGCTCCTGACTTCGTTTTTAGAGATTTCTCTCTGATTTTTTGCATGCAGGCCTGAATTGTGATCTAGTTTTTGAATCAAAAACCAAAGTGGGGAAAAAATAATTTTCCCCCTCATTTTTCCCGCATTTTTGGGGCATTTTTTCAAAAACTTTGTGATAGGTCCATGTGAGGTGTCTAAAGTCATTAATATTGGGTCGGGAAACTCAATTCTGGATTCTATAATCCATTTCCCCCTCTCCTTATACCATTCCCCCCCCTTTCCCGCATTTTCCCCCTCCAAAAGGCCAAAGAAGCCTTCCGACTTTATTACTAGAGATTTCTCTCTGATTTTTTGCATGCAGACCTGAATTGGGATCTAGTTTTTGAATCAAAAACCAAAGAGGGGAAAAAATAATTTTCCCCCTCATTTTTCCCGCATTTTCCGGTCATTTTTTTCAAAACTTTGCGTTAGGACCATGTGGGGTGTCTAAAGTCATCAACATTGGGTCGGGAAACTCAATTCTGGACTGTATAATCCATTTCCCCCTCTCCTTATACCATTTCCCCCCCTTTCCCGCATTTTCCCCCTCCAAAAGGCCAAAGAAGCCTTCCGACTTTATTACTAGAGATTTCTCTCTGATTTTTTGCATGCAGGCCTGAATTGTGATCTAGTTTTTGAATCAAAAACCAAAGTGGGGAAAAAATAATTTTCCCCCTCATTTTTCCCGCATTTTCCGGTCATTTTTTTCAAAACTTTGTGATAGGTCCATGTGAGGTGTCTAAAGTCATTAATATTGGGTCGGGAAACTCAATTCTGGACTGTATAATCCATTTCCCCCTCTCCTTATACCATTCCCCCCCCCTTTCCCGCATTTTCCCCCTCCAAAAGGCCAAAGAAGCCTTCCGACTTTATTCTTGTAAAAGAATAATTAGTGAGCTAAGTAAGCCCTTTGTATGGAAATGTGGACATTCCCCTTTAAAGTTTATAGTCTCTGGTACACGTGAGCGTAAATGCAAAAGTTTAAGTAAAATGTTTCGTAAACTTTATTTTTTCTGAAATACGTTGAAGAAAGCAGTTTTTACAATATAATTTGCAACTGCTGTATCTTCATTATTGCACTTTTTTAAAGTATAGTATACAGTGGTGGGCGATTATATCAATACAATGAAAATTTAAGTTTTGATGGTTAACTAGCCAAGTTCTAATTACAAGTTTACAAGTAATTAAAGAGAAACTTTTTTAATTGGTAGCTTCTCATGGTTCCCATGTTTGTGTGTATCCATGCTGTTTAAAAGCTTGATATAAATCAGATTGAAATCGAAAGTCGTCTTCATTATATTGATAAAATCACCTAACACCGTTTGATGGTTTTTTAAAAATATTCAGAAATTTTCTTTATTTTAGAGTTTGCATATTAAGGATTAAGGAGTCAATATTTTTTGAAGCTGCTCTTTTCCGAAGTTTGTCTATTTTGGAGTTTGTCTATTTTGGAGTATGTTTATTTTGGAGTATGTCTATTTTGGAGTATGTCTATTTTGGAGTTTGTCTATTTTGAAGTATGTATATTTTGGAGTATGTCTATTTTGGAGTATGTCTATTTTGGAGTTTGTCTATTTTGACCCACCCTTTGTATGGAAATGTGGACATTCCCCTTTAATACAATCGTAAAATAAAGTTTAAAAATTGTTATTTTTAATTGGTACCTCCCACATTCTCTGAAATATCTAAACAATCTCTTAAATTACACATTTTTTATTGAAGATACATGTTAGAGAAGGTTAAAGAAGGATTTAGTAGCCTGGATACAGTTGAAGGGGATTCAATCAGGGATTTTACCTTTCACTCTTTAGAAAATATTTTATCAATTTAGCAAAAAGGAAAACTAGATTTCATAACAAACCATCTGGAGCTCAAACGTACTTTAAACGTAAACCCTCTATTGATAGAGTGACATGTCCGATGAACAATGGTACCTCTTGTCTGAGAAAGTGTAAATTAGACATCCATGTTTTTGTTTTATGAAAACTGATAATTTTTATTTACTGTTTCTGTACGAAAGTTACTTACGCATTTATTGCGTAAGAATCAATGGAGAAATTATCAGAACTTAACACCTTTTAATTGGACATGCCCCACTATAAATAGAGAGTCACTTGAAATTACGCATACAGTCCCTTTAATTTATAAATTAAATTGAAATCCTATTTAATAAAAAAGACGAGATTATTGATAAAAACGAGAACGTAAGTCAGAGCAAAACTTAATTATTAAAATTTTGAAAATTTTTTATAAGAGGCGCCTTCATAAACAAATTTAAATTTTGTTTATCATTTTTAATTGTTTTCAAAGCAAAGCTAAAATTTAGAAAACATTTACAAGAAGACAAAGTTTCTCTTCCTCTTCAAGCCTTTTTGTCAGGTTCGTTCACAAATGTATTTTTTAAATTAAAATATTCATTTAAAAAGAGAAATTGATCCACCCTTCACTTTCTCTTTTTTCGTTCATAACCATATTTTTTATAATTAATTTAAAACTAAATAATTAATTTCCATATTTATTAATTAACTAAATAATTAATTTACATATTTATTAATTAACTTATTTATAAATTAACTAAATGATTCATTTTCCCCAAAATTTTTACTTAGTGAGGTCTGGGCATTGGGTATGGGCAATGACAGAGTTATATATATTCAAAAAGAAAATATATTTTATTCCAAATCTGAGTAGTCTATTTTAATGCTCGTAAAAATGAAGAAAATCAGTAAATACGTGTTTTTAGTTTGCCATACCTTGAATTTTGATCTTATTTGTCTTTAGTATTATTTTGTGTTAAGAAAATACTATTTAGAATACAATATTCCTGTACATGTTATTCCCTTCCTTCCTCTAACCAGAGATCAAGTGAGATCATGCATTCACGCTGAATTAAGGTACATATATTCATTTCTCTCTAAAGATCATGTATTCACGCCAAACTCGGGTACATATACATTCATCCGACTAGAGATCATGAGATCATGCATTCACGCTGAATTAAGGTACATATATTCATTTATCTCTAAAGATCATGGAAGATCATGTATTCACGCCGAACTCAGGTACATATATATTCATTCATCCAACTAGAGATCATGTGAGAGCATAAGAGCATGTATTCACGCTGAATTCCTCTAGCTAGAGATTATGTTAGATCATGTATTCATGCTAAACTAAGGCACATCTATTCATTCCTCTATCTAGAGATCATGTGAGTACATGTATTCACGCTGAACTAAGGTACATATATTTTTACCTCTAACCAGAATTCATTTTAGATAATGTATTCATGCTGAACTAAGGTATATATATTCTTTCCTCTTTCTATAGATGATGTGTTCACGCTGAACTAAGGTATATATATTCATTCCTCTTTCTATAGATCAGTATTCATGCTGAACTCAGGTACATATACTCATTTCTCTAACTGTAGATCATGTAAGATCATGTATTTACGCTAAGCTATAAAGTTTCAGCCCATTCGGTCCAGCCGTTTGGCCGGCTAAAGCAACATATCTTTATAAACGAATGTCTTGTTTTATTATATAGATAATGTATTTTGTACAGAGTACAATACACTTAACCCCATTCTTGCTGGGATACTTGACCCCCCCCCCCTCCCTACCCCCAACAGGAAAAGGGTTAAGATAATAAAGTGTTAAAATTACGGTTGTAATCTTAAGTGACCCCGCATTTATAATAGGGCATGTAGTATTCCCAACGGTACTCTTGAAAACCTTTTCTGATCAAGAATGAGTAAGATATCTATGATTTATCTTTAAAAATTGACTATTTTCAGTTGTGCTTGCGGATTTCTTGCTACAGAAACAATAGCATAAATTAGATACTTTTCAAGTTAGAAAAAACGAAGATATTTTCACGTGATCAGAAAAAGGTGTGGATAAGGTCACGTGGATTTAACGGTTCTGCCAATATTCCAGAAAGCTGTGACTTTCGATCACAATTTGACCCGTTAAACATAATTTTTAAGCCTTTTTCTAGAATACTTTTTTGTCGGCATATGCATTTTGAATGAAAAAGTATAGAATAAACAAATCCGTAAGTTAAAAGATTGTTGAATTATAAATCAAAACACGTTTGATATCAAATTCAAGAAGCCGAATGCTTCTCACTCTGGTTAGTTCGGGGTGAGGTATCCCCCTCTTTAAATGGAAACTCGTATGAAATTACGACATTCCCGTAAATCTATTTTTTGTTCCCGTTTCTTTAACATTGACATTTTTCAGAAGAAACCATATGACTATGAGCAAAGACGATATTAACAAAGTATTGGACCAGGTTCAATTCTTCAACAAGGAATTACCAATCTTTGCCAAGACAGGTATCTAGCTGGCCTTTATTAATGGGATTGTTTGCCTCTTTGGTTTAGGTTTATTTAAATTTTTATCTAATATTATGTGGACTAATTTGTCCCTTCAGGATTTAATGAATAACTCATTTATGTTTAAAAACTGCAAAAAGTTTGTTTAGAGAAGATTTGAGATTTTAAAACTAAGAACATTTTGCTTAATTTTAAGTTACTTTTCATTGACCGAGTGGCATATCCGAATCACTTTGGTACAAACCATTGTCTGATTAAGGACGAATTAGTCATCTTTGTTTTTCTTTGTGAAAATATGTTATTTTCCATTGTGGCCTATTGTAAATGACTTGGATGTATACTCAGCAGAGAAAAAGAAGGAAAATGTTAGAATGTATCACTTTTCAAGATAGGTAAACAACGATTACTTCCTCTATACTGTCCAAATAAAGGTTTTAAATAAAGGTACTGTTGCCAATCGAGCATATCTTTTTTTCAATAGAGGGTTACTTACGACGTCATTTCCTTTAAGGTTGTAAGAAGATAATGAGTAAAGTCAACATTGCTCTGAACGGACATTTGGATCTTTAACAGCTGTGAACACAAGATTCAGGATACATGATGCAGGATTCTGGTGTCTGGATTCTGGATTCAGGATTCAGGATGCAGGATTCAGGATTCAGGATTCAAGATTCTGGTTTCTGGATTCTGGATTCAGGATGCAGGATGCAGGATTCTGGATTCAGGATTCAGGTCCAGGATTCAGGATTCAGGATTCTGGATGCAGGATGCAAACATTGGGCGCAGCCCTTGGCCAATACCAGGACTTTCCACTTTTTTTGCTCGGAGATCTCAAAATTTTAATCGAAACTTGTATTTTACGATAAAGCTCCTAGTTCATGAAGAGTGGACATGTTAAATTTGAGACCCTTTTCATCTGAGAAATTAAAATCTAGATCTTCGACGACTTTACGTATTTGTATCCTCAAGTAGAATTTTTAGTAAAATCTCCACGTTCATATTTTTTTCTTGATCTTTGCGGTTGTTTAATGTGTTCTATACTTTGCAAGGTTGGTTATTAAGGTTGGATAATGGAAGCGCTCCAATGTACGCAAAATATCCTCTTCATCCTCTTATGACGTAACTTATTATTGGAGGATTTGAGGAGAGGGAGATCTCTCTACAATTCAGCTTTTAATAGCGGAGAAAATCTTTCCCCTCACAAATTCCGCCAATAAGCAAATTACCTTTTGAGTTGCCACTGCCATGAAGACGACATTTTCCGTACATTAGAGGGCATCCCGAGTATCTAACCTCAATATACAACCTTGGTATTTTCACAAAGGCATTTTTCATATCAAAAACTTTCCCAAACTTAGGGGGAACAATTATGTAACGCTGCGGGTATGATATTTGGAATTGTGTCACTTGTGAAGTTTTTTGGTAAAAATGTACCATTGTACTATCTGTCGGATCATATGAGACTTCCAGTGCAAAATTGTTACATGTGAGCACCCTCTTAACTTCCTCAATACATTAAATGTGATAACCTTTATTGTAACCATATCAGATCACGTTTCAAAGCGTTTAAAAATCTCAAATCAAATTACGTTCAGTAAAAATGATTTTATGTTTACAAAGTTGACTTAAAAGCTATGTTTGTTTATTTCTTTAGCAAGTTCCCATCACTAATTATCCCTTTCATAACTTCCAGATCAATTTCAAATTAATTTATATTAGTTGCAGATAAATAAGAGATAATTTCAAGAATAGAATTCTTGCCAAATTTAAATATCTCTTTTTTGGTTTCAAGGAATTATTTCAAAAGCACTTCTTGAATTATTTAAAAATTAAGTTTAGCTAATAGATCTAAGGAATTAAAGTCAATTTGCAATATAATGTGATTTTACGTAAAAATTCCAGTTTTATGCCAATAATTTACCTGCATTTAGGTTTTAAAATACATATACATTTTCTATTTTTGATGTTTCAGATAAAAGGGAAAATGTCCTAATTGACCAGACAACAGACATCTGACAATATGGGTCTGAAAGCAGTTTTCAGGTGTTACATTTTTTACTAACACGGGATTTTAATGGCAGAATAATGGAGAGGGATTTTGAACCCCTCATCTTAAAAGTTTCATGTGGTAACGAGAACTAATTTGTGGTTACGAAATCTAATTTTTTTGGTAACGAAATAGTTCTGTGGTAACTAAAACTAATGTTGTGTTATCGAAAACTAATTTTGTGGTAACGAAATCGAATATGTAATAATGAAAACTAATTTTTTCTTAACGAAAAGTAATTTTCTTGTTACGAAAACTAATTTTGTGGTAACGAAATCTAAATTTTGTGACAACGAAAACAAATTTGTGGTAATGAAAATAAATTTGGTCTCATAGAAAATTAATTTTGTGGTAACTAAAACAATTTTTTTGTGAACAGAAAATAAAACTATTTGTTGTGGTAACTAAATTCAATTTTGTGGTATTGAAAACTAATTTTATGGTAACGAAATCTAGTTTTGTGATAATAAATTTTTTTTTAACAAATTAATTTTGTTGTTACGAAAACCAATTTTGTGGTAACGAAAACAATTTTTTGGTAACGGAAAATAGAACTATTTGTTGTGGTAATTAAAACCAAATTTGTGGTATCGAAAACTAATTTTGTGGTAACTAAAACTAATTTTGTGTTATCGAAAACTAATTTTGTGGTAACGAAATCTAATTTTGTGATAACAAAAACAAATTTTGTCTCAACGAAAATTAATTTTGTGGTAACTATAACTAGTTTTTTGGTAACGGAAAACAGTTTTGTGGTAACAAATACCAATTTTTTGGTTTCGAAAACTGATTTTGTGGGAGCAAAAACTAATTTTATGGTAACGTAATTCACTAATTTTGTCTTAACGAAAATTTATCTTGTGGTAACATAAACTAACTTTTTGGTAACTAAAACTTATTTTGTGATGACAAAATTTTTTTTGTATAATCAAATAATTTTGTTGAGAAATAAAATATTTTAGATAATAAGTTTTTTTCCTTTAAAGAGACTGTCAAGGCCGATTGACAACGGTATTCTCTAAACCGTTATCTGATCCATAAGTTGTAATGCATGAAATTACGTTTTCAGTTCCGTTAAGTTTGAAAATCATGGTTTTGATTGCGCGGAGCTTAGTCGAAAAAAATGTATTGTTATATCAGTATTTGCCTGGTGTGTGTTGTGGGAGGGGACAGGTTAAAGGAGAGCATCTATACAGACTTCGACCAGTTCCAGGCCTGCTTCAAGCGGTTAAACGCTACCATGGTTAGTAGTAGTATCATATTTATCTTCCATACAGTGGGGCTCATAAAATTATGAAATACGAAGATACGATTTCAACAATATTGATCGTTTCATAAATCAAGTAGTTTTGCCAACATACTGAAAATCAAGTGAATTGTTTTTTTTTTACTCCGAAAGTGCACAAATGCTGTGTTTTATGATTTTTAAACTAAAAATCATAACTTTAGTTTAACTGCCGTCTTTCTTTACAAAGTTTTATGGGTTCCTTCTTCCATTTTTGATGCTTATTACCATTACATCGTTTTTGTGAGAAGAACATTTTTGAGAACGAACGAAATTTGTATTTAAAGATGGTGTCTTTCAGGTTTAAAAACGAGCGTTGGACAAACGATCGTTCAGAGAAATGAAAAACAAATGAAAGAATCTAAAAACGGTCCGTTTTACTGAACGATCCAATTTTCTAAAGGACTAAAAAACACGATAGTTTCTAGTGAACTATTTTTTTTTCAACAAACCGTTGAAAAACTATCGTTTTTTAATGAACGAACGAATGAAATGGGTCGTTCACGAATGACAAACGAACAAAATGAAAAAAAGTCAAACGCGCCCATCACTAAATATATATTATGCATTATATAGAAATATATCTTTTTTATGAGGGTAAAACCATCTTGTGCTATTGATGAAAAATATTTATTTTTCATATTTAGTTTTTTTGAAGAAATCTTTTTGAAATTTAAAAAAAAAATACAGCCCATTTCCCCCCCATACCTGGAAGGTTGAAGACAAATTATGTATGCATCATTTATTTGAAAATATTGAAACTTTATTGTTCAAGAATATTCTAAAGAAGAAGTAAATATACTTTGAAAGAATATATTTACATTTAGAAAGTTTAAAGTTTAAAGAGACTGTTGTTTTAATTTTTGTGACCCTCCTTAAAAAAAAGGGGGCATGCCTGATTCACAAGAATACCTTCATCTACTAAATATTGTGGAAAATATAGCTGTTTCTTTTGTAGCTTGTTTCTTTTGTGGCTTAAAATGCGTTATTCTAACAATTTCCTACAATGCCGATGAAGCATAAATCCGTAAGTCACTTCCTAGAGAAAGCATAGCTGAAAGTAAATCATTTTTTTATAGAAAATGTTGCATTTCCGACCGGATAAAACTTTCAAAGGTACCATTGTGAATCATTCAGCCCACTTTAATAATTGAGGGTCAGTTGAAATTTTGAAGTTTTATAATTTAGGAATTTGGATGTACCTCAGACCTGAGTGGAAACGTGGGTGTTCTATTGTACATTGATTCCCAGGTGCATAGAATTGTTTTCTTAAAATAGCTAAACTATATTAATTCCCCTGTATTGAAAGATTGGAGTTATTTTGAACAATTTTTTTTTCAGTTAACAAATTGAGACCCAGGGAAAATAAATAAAGAAGCCAAAGAAATTCGTCATCTCCAAGTCATCTCTATGTCATCTCTGTGTAATCTCTATGTCATCTCTATTTCATCTCTAATTTATCTCTATTTCATCTCTATTTCATCTCTATTTCATCTCTATTTCATCTCTATTTCATCTCTATTTCATCTCTATTTCATCTCTATTTCATCTCTACATCATCATCACGTCATTACTACGTCATCTCAACGTCATCACAACGTCATTCTATGTCATCTCAACATCATTTCAACATCATCTCAACGTCATCACAACGTCATTCTATGTCATCTCAACATCATTTCAACATCATCTCAACGCCATTCAAACGCCATCTCAACGTCATCCCTAGTTTATACTACATCTTACATAGAATATCATTATCTTTAAAAACTTTCTGATTTATCCGCCATTTTAAATGTTAAATATTTTAGGACATATCCAGAGTTGAAGTTGATGACTTTGCTCCTTATATCATTCTTCTTAGTCCTGATATCTTTAGGTAACTTTATAGGATTTTTCATAGGATTTAACAAATTTTTGTTCTACAATATTTTTAATTAATATGATCTTGGACTGCTAAACGAAATATACCATTAAGTGGGAAATAATTCTATAATTGAAATTGTTATCTGGCCCTGGAGGTAGGAGGAGGATATTGAAATTTATTCAATAAAAACGAAGTGCATCGGCTTTTTTCAAAAGTTAATACTTGAAAATCGAATTAAAGGAAATGAAAGCTGCCCTTCTACCTAGTTTTGTCCCATAATGTTTCCGTCCTCTAATTTTCCAATCAGAGGGACGACATTCATGGTAGAATGTTGCCCCTCCCACTTAAGCCGACTTTGATTAAGATAAATAATAATAAGTAATAATTATACAGGATAATAATCATTAAATGAATTTAGATTTATGATGATTATTCCTGTAAATGGAGCCCTAAATATGTTTTTATAAATCTAGAGATATTTTGTTATTGTTCGTCCACATTTTTATCTAATTTAAACTTTTTATTTAAAGCGGAAGTATGCTGACTAGACTGAAGAATACTGGGAATGTGAACGGTATTCTCCTTCCAGGAGTTAAAACTGGGAAATGGAAGGTATGATTTATATCACCAAAGGGGGAGGGAGGGACGTTTAAAGGGACTGTAGAGGTAATTTTGAGGAAGATGTCGTCGTTTTTTATAAATCTATAATTTTCTTTTTTGTCTCTTTTCCCATTCCCTTTTTACACTTGTTACAATTTACCATTAAAAAAAGTATTTTTTCAGTTTAAAAAAAAATTATGAAGAACTGATTATTGTTTTGTCTAGGGCAAGCTCCCCGCTGTACAGTCTGATGATGTTAATTGTCCGAATAGTGGCAGCAGCACAGCAGAGAAGTTTGGAGAGCAAAATACAATAAAGCATTAACTTATTAATTTCCATTTAAAATATATTATTTCAGCTGGTGAGAATTTGTTGTGGCAGAACTGGAACTTCCCGATATTTCTGATGAACAACGAGAACACAACGGAGAACCTGTACTCCTGCTTTTTAGAACACAACAGGTAGATTCATTGATTAATATTTTATATTGATTGATTGATTGTTTTCAAGGGTTATCCTTTGATTGACTGATTTGTTTTGATTGATTTATCTATTAGTGGAGATGATGTCTCCTGGCCCCTGTGTGCTGTGGAACTAAGTTCACCAATGTATTGATTGATTGATTGATTTATCTATTAGTGGAGATGATGTCTCCTGGCCTCTGTGTTCTGTGGAACTAAGTTCACCAATATATTGATTAATTAATTGGTTTATCTATTAGTGGAGATGATGTCTCCTGGCCCCTGTGTTCTGTGGAACTAAGTTCACCAATATATTGATTGATTGATTGATTTATCTATTAGTGGAGATGATGTCTCCTGGCCTCTGTGTGCTGTGGAACTAAGTTAACCAATATATTGATTGATTGATTGATTTATCTATTAGTGGAGATGATGTCTCCTGGCCCCTGTGTGCTATGGAACTAAGTTCACCAATGTATTGATTGATTTATCTATTAGTGGAGATGATGTCTCCTTGCCCCTGTGTGCTGTGGAACTAAGTTCACCAATATATTGATTGATTGATTGATTTATCTATTAGTGGAGATGATGTCTCCTGGCCCCTGTGTGCTGTGGAACTAAGTTCACCAATGTATGCAGCGAAGGTAAGAATAAAGTTGACCATATTAGTTGCGACGATTGAATTCATGGCTACAATTGTTATTTAAGTATTATTTATTAGTTTTTTTTTTTCTCACTGCCCGCCCCATTGCGTGCGCCTGAGTTAGGGAGGGAGTTTACTTAGTTATTGTTATATTCGCTGAATATGGGAAAATGACTACTCTTTAAGGGAAAAGAAATTAATTATTGGGTAAAAAGAAGGAAAAAACTTGCCTTTTCAATTTCAATTTTTCATTTTTCCCCAGATCTTCGAAAATCACTCTTAAAAATATACATNGGTCACTCCCTTTTTATGGATTTTATTGATGAACAATTTGACCCTTTTCTAGGATTCCGAGACATGTTGGAGACGGAGTAATATAGCAAACACACTCACACCTCAACAATACTGTGATCCACTTAGGAATACACGCAATAGATTTAACATCAAACTGGAATTTATGTAAACTAACTTGGGAACCCAGCCTGGCCCAGGGTAGTCATTGTTAGTCCCACCGTTTACCCGCCCGTCGTGAATTACAATTTTATTTTTTTATCATCGAACCCACTTAACTAAGAATCTCAAAACCAAGCTAAGAACATGCCCGTTGGTCTCATTAGTTCCCCCAATCAAAATTTATGATCGAGCAAACAAACAAACTGACAAACAGAGATTACAACTTTTTAAGTTTTGATTAGCCATCTCTGTTTGTTTGTTTGGATGTCTTGAGCACAACTCAAGAACCCTTGGACCGATTTGCCTCAAATTTGGATTCGGGAGCTCAGTAGAGCCACATAAATGGTCTTTACAGTTCTAAGTTGAGTGGGTTGACTTTTATTGGAAGAACTCCAGGCAAAGCTGGATTTCCAAGCTAGTATTTAAATAAACCTTTCCTCTTCATACCAGTTTTATGATTTTTGAACCAGGTTCCAGATTTGGAAGCCAGTTTTCTCATTAAGCGATGTCTCCTTATTTGGAATCCAGATCTTAGGATTTAGAATCCAGTTTTTTGGATTTAGATACAGTTAGAAAGATAGTGTATTCTGTAGCTAGTGTTATAGATACGGGAATCAAGTTTTAAGATTAAGAATCCATCCAATTTTGTTAATTTTTAGTTTTCTATATTTGGAAATTTGGAAATTTATTCTTTAGTTGTATAGAATTTAGAACAAGTTGCAGAAAAGTTAGAAAAATAGTTTTACTAACCGTACCAAGTTGAACCACTTCACGCTAACTATCAATTGCAAGCTCTGATAAAATAATTGTATATTATGGTTTAGTGATAATAATATTTTCTACTTCACAACCCCCCGGAACCGAACTCTGCCAGATAACTCCACAAAAACACAAAGGTATGAGGTTATATTCGTTAACAGTTCATATTCCCAGGGACCGAAAATATACGATTAGCGCGAATTACATGAACTGGACAGACTTAGTTCAACCACTTCTCTTAAAAGCCGGTTCAAAGTGAAAAGAAGTGGTTAAACTAACTCTACTCGGTTCAACCATGTCTCACTTATCAGTTAAAAAAAAAAGATTTTAGTGTTAAATATTTTTATTCGGAAGTAAAATGTAGAATAAACAAAATAAATTTTGTTTTTATTATTTTTTTTCTTAAAAATAAGAAAATTTTGTAAAAAGATCAAAATAAAATTTGATGGAAAAGTCTCTCTGTTTATTCAACACTTGAAAGGAATAAAAAAAAACATTCATGACAAAGATGTTAAATTTACCCATTTTAATATATTTAAATTCTCCATTTTACTATTTTCAAACGCGTAATTTTAAGTGACCATCCAAACAAAGATGGCAATGTCCGATTCCCCAGGGTACCCTCCACCCCTTCTGATTCATAATGTGGAAGATATTGTCTTCTCTCTTTCTAGGTTTACAATTGTTTAATTCTAATAATTCCATGCGCAATTCCCAATTAAAAACAATAAATTTTTTAAATTATTTATTCATATTTTATATTTTTATTCAACTACAAAGCATGAAATATTACAAGTTATAAACAGTGAAATCTAAATCCTACTTTAAATTAGGCTTGCAGTCCCTTTAAATGGTTTTACAGATTAAACGTTCCATGTTGTTCTTCTTTAGTGCTGACAGTGTGATACTGGTTGTGGCCAGATTGGATGCTTTAAATATATTCGACAAGGAAGAGGTAAACCATGGATTCGACAAAATTTTAAAATTTAATAATCGGAAGTTTAATGAAAGTTTACTAAACAACCAGAATCAATTTTTTTTACCGCCTTTTGACTTTTATTTCCAACCCATGAGTCCCCCAACAGCGGAAAATTAAATTACATAGCTGTCCCTTTGGGATAATAAAATAAAATAACATCCCATCCCGCGAAGTTTTCGTGAAAAAATTCTAGCAATTTTTATCTCAAATTCAAAAGACGAATAATGACCAATGTTTTTTCGAAAAATCTAAAATTTTACTTGATTACCCCCCCTCGACCGATTTTAACTATCTAGTGCGTAGTTACGGATGTTTTAAAGGCCAACTTATCTTGGGAACTCTTTGTAAAGTAAAATTAAAATTTTCTTAACTTCCCTGAAAAAAGTAGGAAATAGTTTATTAATTGTTTAGGTTGGATTTGACAGTCCCTCTACGGGAATAGTTACACTTATTTCTGCAGCTAAAGCAGTCTCTAGGGAACTCAGGAAAAGGTGAACCTATTGAACATATAATTTCACAAAGGCATTAGTGTTTTTTCTCTTGAAAAATGTTTCACCTCAATTTTGAAAAACAATTTTCCCAGATGTTAGATATGTAAAGTCACTTCGAGGTTTGAGTGTGGATAGAAGGGTGTCCCTAAAAGTTTGATTTGATTTGCTTTGCTTTGGGTTAAAATTATCATAAAGTGCAAGATGGGGGGGGGGTAGAATAATATTTCCCGCTAGCAATTCTGTTGATCATTAAAGGTTAACTGGGCAACGTAATGTTAAAATGACCCTGAATTAAAAATACTCTCAATGGTAGTGGTACTCATCAGCCAAATAACTATTTAGCTGTTTATTAAAAAGGAAGATATCTTTGTTTTTCTTTCTTAAAAAAGGAAAAGATTTGTCAATTTTCTTACCTTGTTTTATTATGCATAAATCCGCAAGTTCATTGTATAGATAGAAAAACAATGATATCTCCATAATTTTTGCCCGTTTTAATGAGGTGTGGTGACTTCTCATTGTGTCGACAACCCTTTAAAGGGAGTGACTGGCTATGTAAGGTAGTTGAACTGAGTATGCAGTGTTATGGAAAACTTCTTTAGGATTCATTTGAGACATTTAAAACTTTTCAAGATATGTAAATCCTGAGTTTGAGCGCTAATTCGACGTTCAAAACTCCTACTTTTGGGGTGGATACGTTTTCGAAATTAGTTTTTTTAATTATTAAATAACGACGACATAAAATGTAAACAAAATTCTACAGTAAACTATTAAGTTGTTTAGGAAAGAGGTTGAGAAAATAAAAATTAATCTTATCATCGAACATAAGTAATCTTGTTCAATTATTAGTTTCTATTATATATTAATATTAGTTTCAAGTGATAAACCCTGTAAGGATTGTTTGATTATCTAGGGAGTACAAGAACCAAGTTGAAAACGTCCTGTTCCTTCTTGTTCACGGAGAATCCTTTGATTATATTGGTTCTACCAGGTTAGTTATAAATTACAGGGAGTGACATCTGAGATTTATACAGTGAAGATCTAACTTCATTACTTTCGAGGTTTAGTTACACCCGGATCTTTGCTGATTTGTAATTGAAAATTTATTTAATTTGCAAAATAAACTTTGACACTTCAGAGCTGAAAACTTTAGAATGGTGGATATCGAGATTAATGCTTGATCCTCTCTTTTTCTTAATATCGGGACTAACACTTGTATCCAGTAAGTGTATAAAATTCAACCAATCAGAGTCGCGTATAAGAAGTCGATAAATTTAAGATTTTGCGCCCCATTTAAGATAAATATGCAGAGACGGGAGGGACTCTCTATTAAAAACCGGTTCTTGATTTTTCTCTACTAATCCAAGAAAGAGTGGTTTAAGAAGAAAATCAAAAATCGGGAGGATTTGAATGACGAGTTTTTTCATGTTTAAAATCACAGTTCAGATTTGGCATTGGGATATCTAGACCGTAGAACTGTCCTTTCTGCACTTAGTTCTCTAGTATAAAGGGGAGTGGCTCATTATTTCCGTCCTTTGTTGGCGATTTTTTCTGATAAGCCATCTCGGCCTTGATTTTCACGGAATGATGGTTGATGGTTTTTTATCATTATTATTAGTAAGGCACAATCTTAAAGGGTTTAAAATTAAATACATATCATTTATTGATAAATAAACTGTTTGCTAATAATGTTTCTAGATCGACATTCAATTTGCTTCAATTTTGGATATTGCAATGAATGTAAACTGAAAATAAATATTAAGATTTGATAATTATATGAATATTATTCAATACTATTATCAGGGCTGTCTACGATATGATGAGTGATTCGTTTCCGTTTAATCTCACCGAGGACCTTAAGGTATAAAACTGGAAATGAACCAATGGGAGAACAGTAATCTAATTCATAAACAGAATCCCACTCTCTGATTGGTTCTTGTTAAAATCGCTTGATTTATCTATCCATCCAACTGCATATTTACCTTACTGTCTTTCTAATTATCTATATATCTTTCTATCCGACTTTCTATATCGATCTATCAGTGTCGTTTATGGGGGGGGGGGAGAAGGAAGACGTCCCCCACCCGCTGGAAAAATTAGAAAGATGAGGTGCCAGTGAATCATTGAAAATATTGATATTTAATGAAATAATTCTCCAGAGAAAATTGTACGAAGGGACCTAAAATGTAACCCTCCCCCCCAGCCCTGTCAGAAATTTAACATTAAAATCCTTAAAAACCTTTAAACAATTGCAAGGGGATTAAAAATTTGTATATATCTATTTATTTATCTATCCAACTTTCTATACAATTCTATCTATCTATCTAGTCTGGAAAGATGTTCAGTAACGGAACTCAACCTCTGCTATCAATAGAGAATATTCGAGTTATCATAGAGTTGGGACAATTATCCAACAGGAATACGATAATTTATTTAATTTATCCCTTTCTATACAATTCTATCTATCTAGTCTGGAAAGATGTTCAGTAATGGAACTCAACCTCTGCTATCAATAGAGAATATTCGAGTTATTATAGAGTTGGGACAATTATCCAACAGGAATACGATAATTTATTTAATTTATCCCTTTCTATACAATTCTATCTATCTAGTCTGGAAAGATGTTCAGTAATGGAACTCAACCTCTGCTATCAATAGAGAATATTCGAGTTATTATAGAGTTGGGACAATTATCCAACAGGAATACGATAATTTATTTAATTTATCCCTTTCTATACAATTCTATCTATCTAGTCTGGAAAGATGTTCAGTAATGGAACTCAACCTCTGCTATCAATAGAGAATATTCGAGTTATTATAGAGTTGGGACAATTATCCAACAGGAATACGATAATTTATTTAATTTATCCCTTTCTATACAATTCTATCTATCTAGTCTGGAAAGATGTTCAGTAATGGAACTCAACCTCTGCTATCAATAGAGAATATTCGAGTTATTATAGAGTTGGGACAATTATCCAACAGGAATACGATAATTTATTTAATTTATCCCTTTCTATACAATTCTATCTATCTAGTCTGGAAAGATGTTCAGTAATGGAACTCAACCTCTGCTATCAATAGAGAATATTCGAGTTATTATAGAGTTGGGACAATTATCCAACAGGAATACGATAATTTATTTAATTTATCCCTTTCTATACAATTCTATCTATCTATCTAGTCTGGAAAGATGTTCAGTAATGGAACTCAACCTCTGCTATCAATAGAGAATATTCGAGTTATTATAGAGTTGGGACAATTATCCAACAGGAATACGATAATTTATTTGATTTATCCCTTTTCATTTTTTAAGGAACTATAAGCGTTATTTTAAGATGTCACCTGATACCTTTGTAAGCTTTATCTGATCCTAATATGAATGAGATATCCTTGTTTTTGTTAATTTAAACGGTTTATTTTCTTTTCTGGTTTCTCTGTGCAAGTGACCTGTTGCATATCTGCTCGTTGGAAATAATCATAATTAAATACTTTTCATTCAGATCAAGGTTTCAAGGGTACCGTTGTAAATCGGCCATTGCTATCGTTGCATGAAAACTTGTCACATACTTTATTTATTTAATCTTTGCAACCTTTGGGAGTTGGACTATCTATTGGGCAGAATTCATTTAAAATATTTACGTCATCAGGTTGCAAAAATATAAGGACTAGAAAATTTGAGTTCAAACGCTGAGTTTAGTTTCTTAAAGCGACATTTTTAAGTGCCCCGCCATCCATGTCTGATTAACAACGGTACCTTTAAAACCTTTTTCTGATCATTATATATGAAATATATTGACGTTTTTTTCTGAGTTTAAAGTGTTTAATTTCTATTTTTTTCCTGAAATAGAAACGCGCAAGTCATCGTTGAAAAAAATTCACTATTGAAAATGATCAGTTTCAAAATTATAACCATTGATATCTAATTCATACTTGCTTTAAGGGATACTTGAAATTACGCTCTAAGTTCTATTAAGAATTTTTATCTTCCTTTAAAAGTACCTTCAGCGGTGTTTTATCAATCAATGAAAATTTTCTTTTTTTTCTTTTTTATATATTAAATTGTTGTATTAGAATATCTAATGATGTGTGGGCACACACTGCTAATCTAGGATCATATATTGAGGATGCGCTTAGGAACCAATCTTTCAAATTATTATCATTGATCAAAACGAACTTATAACTACAAGAAAATATAGCTTAAATGGCTTAAACTGCTATTAGAAGGAATCACTTTCCCTCTGAAAAGTTCTTAATTTACTGAAGAAAAAAATGGTTTAGAAATTTCACAAGGATCCTTGAGAAGGATAGCTTAAAATGGCTTCGTAAAAAATCCAGTTAAAGTGTTATTAGAAGGAATCACTTTCCCTCTGAAAAGTTCTTAATTTACACTGAATAAAAAAACGGTTTATAAATTTGCTATTTTTACAAGGATCCTTGAGGAGACTCAAGTATAAAAAGTTTCATTCTTATAATTTTGGTTTATGAATTAATTAAAATAAGTGGAACGAAACCTTTGAAGGTTTTTTTAATTTCTGATTTCTCAAGATGAAAAAATTAATTTTTCAGAATTTGTAATTACATTTTTTTATTATTTAAAAAAAAAATAATTAAAAATCTTGAATTCAAGTAAAAACTACGTAACTAAAAGTTTATACAATATCAAAATTTTTTATTTTTTATTTAAGAAATCCAACTAAGATCTTTATTTGCTGGTTTGGTCAGAGTTTTGAGGAAAACTGTTTCTGTGAAAACATCAACCGGAAAATATCTGCCACCGGCGTCATCTCAGTCCTTCCTTAAGGTTGGTAGTTTTTTATGCTTGGATTCGGTTTGGTTTCCTAGATCCGGATCAACAACATTTGTCTTCCTGGATCCGGATCCATAATATTTTAGCTCCCTGGATCCGGATCCACAACATTTGTCTCCCTGGATCCGGATCCATAATATTTTAGCTCCCAGGATCCGGATCTGCAATATTTTAGCTCCCTGGATCCGGATCTGCAATATTTTAGCTCCCTGGATCCGGATCCACAACATTTGTCTCCCTGGATCCGGATCCATAATATTTTAGCTCCCAGGATCCGGATCTGCAATATTTTAGCTCCCTGGATCCGGATCTGCAATATTTTAGATCCCTGGATCCGGATCCACAACATTTATCTCCCTGGATCCGGATCCATAATATTTTAGCTCCCTGGATCCGGATCCACAACATTTGTCTTCCTGGATCCGGATCCATAATATTTTAGCTCCCTGGATCCGGATCCACAACATTAGTCTCCCTGGATCCGGATCCATAATATTTTAGCTCCCTGGATCCGGATCCACAACATTTGTCTCCCTGGATCCGGATCCATAATATTTTAGCTCCCAGGATCCGGATCTGCAATATTTTGTCTCCCTGGATCCGGATCTGCAATATTTTAGATCCCTGGATCCGGATCCACAACATTAGTCTCCCTGGATCCGGATCCATAATATTTTTGCTCCCTGGATCCGGATCTGCAATATTTTAGCTCCCTGGATCCGGATACATAATGTTTTGGCTCCCTGGACCCGGAAGTAAAGTAAAGATACTTTTGTTATTAAACATAAACAGCCTGAAGTTAGAAACTTTTAACAGAGTTTTCCAAAATAAACAAATATATTTTACAAGACAGAGAGCAAACACCCTCCAGTCAGCCTGGAAGGGACTTTTCTTTGAAAATATAAAAAACCGAAAAATGACTGAAGATATTTTATTTTATTTATGCCGATCTTTTTGAAGGGGTCTTGTTTATTTTAATTTAAATTTAAGAAAGTTGCCACAGTACTAAGTCTAGGACTAAAAAAAATCTAAAAATCTTTCAAATCAAATATTTGTTAAATAAAAGTTTGAAGTGTTTTCTAGTTTCCAAAAAAATAATTTCGTTGGTCAGTTATTGTTAAAATTCTAGATATTAGGAGATATCAAAATATTATCTAAAGAAGCTTAACAAATTATGTAGGTTCTTTCATTTTTTTATATTTATGATACAGAAGCTTCTCAAATAAACTATTCTCAAAATAAAGTCATGAAAAATATATATTTAAAGAATTTATATTTAAGTTTTAAATTGAAATGATGACGATTCCTTTAATTTAAACTGCTAACCTAATTTTCCCCAGAAATAAATTCAATCTTTCCCCTAAAATGACTTATTTTTTAAAACATTCTAAACAAAAAAGATGTTTTGGCTTATTGCCTCTTGCCTTCCCCTGTAACGTCCTTGAAACCATTTTTAAAATGCCCTTTAAACTTCGCTACAACATCCATTCTTAAAACGTCCTTAAAACTTCGCTGTAACGTCTCTTAAACTCCCTTGCGAGTTTTCTATGTTGTCCTTGCAACGTTTTAACACCTCCCAAAACGAGCCTTTACATGCTCTTGTTTCAGGAGAGAGAAACTATCCCTGTTTTAATGCTAACCAACTACAACCAACAGTTCTCCAACAGCTACTACCACAGTATCTACGACAATGCTGTTGTTAACAACTACAACTACAGCCTAGGTGAACAGCAAGCTGTTGTTCAGCATTTATCTAGTCTTGGAGCCGCTGTTGCTTCAGCTGTTGTGTTTTTAGCAGCAGCAGAAGAGATTGTTGTTGAAAAAGATGATAAGGTAAAGATATTATGACAAATTTATATTAACAAATAAAGAGGCGGCTAAAGGGGGGTTTCCCCCTCTGGAAAAATCCATGGCTTAAATAATGATATAATAATTATATAAGCTTTTTGTTTAATTTTCCAGGGGAGGGGGATATTTCAAAGGCTACGGCCTCTCCCCCCCCCCCCCCCAAGTAAATATTATTTTGATTTCGGCTAGTTTTTTACATTCTTCTGTTTTTTTGTCCTTCATATGTAGAATTAATATAAATAAAATCATTGGTGGGTTGAATATGCATATTGTTTTAAAAAAAGATGATTTAGTAAATGAGTTACTGCTTTAGTTTGTAAATGAGCTGCTCCACTGCTATACTGAGACAGCCAACTGCTCTCTGTTCAAGGAAGCGAGCTCTTTAAATGGATATCCTTGGACTGGAGTAGTTCAGTAAGTACACTTACATAACAGACTTTAAAAAATATAGCATGACGCAGAAGCCTATCCAGGGGGGGGTTATGGGGCTAGAACCCCCCCTGTCTCCCGGATGAATGAAAATTATGGTTTCCAGGGTTTTTTTGGGGCTGAGCCCCCCCCCCCGGACAAATTCCTGAATACGCCGCTGGCTGGATGTAATTTAAAGTCCCTTGAGATGGTAATTTAAAGTAAAATTCTTGAATAATTTAACGGATTTTTAATTTTCAAAAAACTATCTAAATTGTTAAAAAATCCTATTGGTCCTGGGGTGCAGTTCTGATAGGTCTCAAATGAATCCTTAAAAATATGATATGATAAATAATATATTATTTTGTTCTAGCCTTTGAATGTTTTCATTTTAACTATTTGTCTACAATTTTATGAAGGAAACTTTTTTTATTTAACATGCTTTACTAAAGATAAAGATTTTTTTTATTAATGAAAGACTGGAGATGTGATTTGAATTGACCCAGTACTTATATTATATTTATGTCTGAATCATTGTGATCCAAGAATGAATAAGAAATCCATATATTTAAATTTGAAAATATATTAGTTTCTGTTTTGGTCTCTGCATTATAGTGACTTGCGGATTTTTGCTATAGAAACAATGGAGGATTTTTATTCAAGAAGTAAACCTTATTTAGTAAAATACATTATTGATAAAGGTTTCTTTAAGAAATTATATTTAGGGACTTCCCCTTTCCTCAGTACATAAGTGTTCATACCTCCTACCATACTCTTCTAACAACACAGATTCTGCAGTACAGCACAGGAGAGATTGTACAAGATACTCGGGAGAAGGTATTCTTTCCAACATTGTTTTTGTAGCTAATAGTTCAAACTTTTTGTAATTAGTGATCGATTATACAGAAGTGAAAATTTCAAAATATCGTTTAAGTTATTTTCAAACTTTTTTTCTCAAGGGTCTGTTTACAAATTCAGTTAGAAAAACCGATCGATTTCTAATTTAGTTAATATTTATGTTCTCGAAAGGAACTGAGTTTCGACACAAACTCAAATTTTCTAATTCCTAAATCCATACAATCTGATGATATAAACTGTAAAACTGGGATATTTCAAACTTAGATAATTTCCTATAACAGAATTCATAGTTTAAAATATCAAAGGTCTACACCATCAGTTTTAAAGATATAGTGATAAGGAAATTAGAGGTTGAGGCAAAAAATCAATTCCTTTGTTGAACCATTCTCTAGTAGTTTTTATTCGAAGCTACTCAGGATTCAGGGCCCATCAATCATCATGTATAAAATTTAAAAAGAGATTTTTTTTGTCCCCAGGACATGATCGGGTTGTTACGATCAAATCTCGGAATTTTTTCTTTTGCGAAAGTTTGGTGTTGTCTGGGTTTTTATATTGATCTACCAGGGGTTGTAATCTGGCAGCACATTCATCCATCCACGCTTCATTCATTCTGAGAAGAGGGTTGACAAGATTCCAGCTGCCTAAGATTCTTCTTAGGCCTGAGAATATAGAGTGCAGGAATCCTTCTGATATACTGGAATGAGGCCCGGGTGCCGTACTGATAGGAAACATCACACTCATTGCTCCCTAACATCTGTAAGCCCGGATTGGATACCCCCAGGTACCTATAGCTGGCAACCATAGACTCTCCCTGCTTGTCCACCATTCCTCTCTTCATCGTCATTCACTTGGATCAATCCCACTTGAAGCTTCTTTCTTGTTGAGTAGAAATAACGCACCCTTTCGCTGCGAGAGTTGTTGACAGCCGCCCCTCTGTCCTCCTACATCCGTCAGGTGGTCATAACTGCTAAACCAGATGTCGGCTTCAGATGTTTTTGATACCACAGGTTTGTGTGGAGTACGGGAATCGAACCCGTGAACACCAGTCTGGACACCAATCCAGTTACTGGCTGTGGACAAGTGTGCTTAACTTCAGTCATCTAACGAGAACTGGTGTCACACACTCTCCACGCCACCCCACTAATCATGTATAAAATTAGATTGAGCTCTTTACTATTTCTGAAAAGTTTAAATATTTTTTACATAAGACATTTTTTATTATTTTTCGCAAATTTTTCATTTTCTCTCGAAACCTTGACATTCCATTCAGAGATAAGGAAGGATTAGATTAATTTAAAAAAAACTGTACAGTCACCTTAAGGAATTGAATTTATGTTTAAAGAGTAAATCATTAATTTTCAGTTTAGGATCTACTACCCACGCACGCAACTCTGCCCCTTTAGTAAAAGTAAATTGAACCTATATGAGGCATAAAGTCTGACCGCGTCAACCTTGTTGCACCGGCTAGTCATGTCCATAGAGCTAGGTACAGTACAAACTGGGACCGGATAGCTTGACCCGGCTCGGAAATTCAAATGCACGTGCACGTTCCACATAAATTTTGATTCTTGTATGTTAACTTGCATCAATTTTTTAAAGACTGGGTTGACTTTGAATTCTCGCAACGCCTTGACCTTTTATTTTACTTTTTTATAGAAGTAATTTGCAAAATTCTTATCGAGCTTGCAACCTGTAGACCCTTCTCTTCCTTTAATAATATTTAATCAGGATTGTTCGGAAGAAACTCCTCCAAACCTAGAAGAAGAAAAAATCAAGTCAGTTTATCAATCTTGTATTCTTCTTTTTTTAATGAGACAATCTATCACACAATGAAATTTATTCATTGATGAAAACGGTCTGTTTTGACCTAAAGTATTATCTCTATTTTCTCGTTGAAATATTAATTCTATCTTTCTGTTTTCTTTTTGAGATATTAAATCTATCTTTCTATTTTCTTTTTTAAATATTAATTCTATATTTCTGTTTTATTCTTGAAATATCAATTCTATCATTTTTATTTTCTTTTTAAAATATAGATTCTATCTTTCTATTTTCTTTTTGAAATATTATTCTATCTTTTTTTTCTTATTGAAATATTAATTCTTTCTTTCTATTTTCTTTTTAAAATATCAATGATATCTTTCTATTTCCTTTTTAAAATTTAAATTTTTCCTTTTTTTTCTTTTTGAAATATTAATTCCATCTTTCTTTTTTCTTTTTTAAATATTAATTCTATCTTTCTATTTTCTTTTTGAAATTTTAATTCTATCCTTCTATTTTCTTTTTGAAATTTTAACTCTATCCTTCTATTTTCTTTTTGAAATTTTAATTCTTTCTATTTTCTATTTAAAATATTAATTTTTTTTTTTCTATTTTCTTTTTGAGATATCAATTCTATCTTTCTATTTTCTTTTTGAAATTTTAATTCTATCTTTCTATTTTCTTTTTGAAATTTTAATTCTATCTTTCTATTGTTTTTTTTTTTTCAAATTTTAATTCTATCTTTCTTTTTGAAATATTAATTCTATCTTTCTATTTTCTAGTGAATTTTATTTTCTGGCTCCTAATTTTCTCTTTGTTAATTCTAGAATCTAGAATTCTTTATTTTCTGTATGATATATTTCTACTATCTTTATTTTCTCTTTGTAATGTTAATTTTTTTTTTTGACATTTTAATATATATTTTTCTGTTGATTTTTTTCTGTATAAAATATTTATTCTGTCTCTATTTTTTAGAGAATGTTAATTTTAGCTTTCCTTTTATAATTTGTCTTTTTTTCTGTTAAATGTTATTCCTATCTCTTTATTTGCTCAAATTTTTCATATTCTCTTTGATATTTAAGTTGAATTTCTCTAATTTCTCTAAAAAGTTAATTGTATCTTTTATTTTATTTTATTTAAAGAGTCATTCAATCTTTGCCTCTTCTTTTACTATCTCCTCTTCTAGACTTCTCTATTAAATACCCATTCTCACTCTGCAAAGCATAAACAATAAATATTTCAAATTATTTTCCTTAAAATGTGTATTCCAACTCTGTGCTTTTTGAAATTTACTTTTGAGACAATTTTACTTACAAATTTAGACATTTATGAAATTTATTCTACTTGATGACTTCTATTTTTCCTTTTTTGAAAATTACTTTCGTTTTCTTTTCTTCTTTTTGACATATCAATTTAGTTTTTACCTTTTTAAAAACTTAAAAGAACATTTGTAGAAAGCTTTATTTGAAATATTTGTAATTTATCTTTGAAAGAGTTTGAGTGTTATTAAATTTCATACTTAGACTTCTCGAATTCTAGATATTTTTAAATTTTTATTCTAGACTTTAATACCATGATTTTGATAAATTAGGAACATTTTAATCTTTATTAAACCAATTTTTGAAGAAAATTTTTTAGTAAATTTAGAAAATAATCTTTGAGACTTTAAAAACATGTCATTGTCATTGTCATTGTCATTGTCATTGTCTTTGTCTTTGTCTTTGTCTTTGTCTTTGTCTTTGTCTTTGTCTTTGTCTTTGTCATTGTCTTTGTCATTGTCATTGTCATTGTCATTGTCATTGTCATTGTCATTGTCTTTGTCTTTGTCTTTGTCTTTGTCTTTGTCATTGTCATTGTCATTGTCATTGTCATTGTCATTGTCAATGTCAATGTCAATGTCATTGTCATTGTCATTGTCATTGTCATTGTCATTGTCATTGTCATTGTCATTGTCATTGTCATTGTCATTGTCATTGTCATTGTCATTGTCATTGTCATTGTCATTGTCATTGTCATTGTCATTGTCATTGTNCTGTCACTGTCACTGTCACTGTCACTGTCACTGTCACTGTCACTGTCACTGTCACTGTCACTGTCACTGTCACTGCCACTGCCACTGCCACTGCCACTGCCACTGTCACTGTCATTATTATTATCATTATTATTATCATTATCATTATCACTATCACTATCACTATCACTATCACATCATTTAATGAAGTTAGTGTCCGTGAATGAATGTGTGATATCTTGGTTGATGGTTTAACCCGTCTAGGTGTAGTTGGTGGATCAGGTGTTGGTGACGGGGACGAGGATGAACTAGCATCAAGAAGTCCAACTCCAACAGCAAACATCATTATGGAGGTCAGCTTTCATCCATCATAAGTTTTAGGATATTTTTTTTTATTTAAACTATTTTTTGTTGTTAAAATTCTGGTTTTATTTGTAACTTCCATCAATTCTGAAATTCTATTGTCAGTTTATTAATTTTTTTATTTGTTTTCAGGAGAGAATGGAAACAGGTTCTGTCCCGTTATTAAAAACTGAAGATCCAACCACAGTAGTGAAGGATTCAGTCTCAGATTCTACACATTCCACAGAACCATCTTCTTACCTAGCCCCTCCAGCTAACCCTGACGGTCAGGAGGAGGCGCCAATACTTGAGATGGAAACAGGTGATGCTGATCCTGAGCAACCAATGGAAGAGGTAGAGCATGATGAAGAGGGGGAGGATGAGGAGGAAGAAGATGAGGAGGAGGAAGAAGAGGAAGAATCTTTGTATATCCCTCGGCTACTAGATGCTGAAGGTTTGTTCTGTTAAGGTTTACTTCTTATTTAACTTGACATAATTCGTTCAATTTTTCAAAAAAAAATCTAAAGTCTCTTTACAGCTTAATATTTTAGGGAATAAGACAACTGTTCCTCGTGACAGCGTGCTTGATGTAATGTCCTGGAAATGCAGTCACGTGACCCAGTTCCTTGAAATCAATGAGTGCTCCAACCTTGTCCCAGCTTTCAAAGACAAGGGAATAAATGGTAAGAATCAAGATCTATAAGATTAAAGTTTAACGTTAAATGATAAAAACTAAGGGAGATAGTATGTCAGAGTCAATTGAATCTATATAGAAAATATGGGTTCATACTGTATACTGTATATTCTACAATGTAAACATTAACAATTATGCAGTACATCACGTACTGCAATATAAAAAGGCAATTTAAGGAGAAGTAATCCGTCACAAACCATAAGTTTAATATTTACGTTAATCCAGTTAATTTTAAAATTCTAATGAAGTGAATAGCTCTTGTTATCCTGAATATCTACGTTGATCCAGTTCATTTTAAAATTCTAATCAAATGAGCAGCTATTGTTATTCTGAATATCTACGTTGATCCAGTTCATTTTAAAATTCTAATCAAATGAGCAGCTATTGTTATTCTGAATATCTACGTTGATCCAGTTCATTTTAAAATTCTAATCAAATGAGCAGCTATTGTCATTCTGAAGCTAAAACTTTTGGTTCTAAAGAGCGATTAGCCACATCGACTGAATTTTATATAAACAGTTTGTTCGCGAAAAATGAAAGGGGGTATAGGCTTAATGCGATAAAAAAGCACTTTTGATCGCTACTAATCATAATTCTATCTGTTGCGTCTATAAGGAGAAAATTGTTTAAAACGACTAATACCGAAGAGCGTAGTGTCCATACAAATTCAGAAAGATGCAACATTCAACTCGGATCGTAAACAAATCAATTTAATATCAAACAAATCATTGAAATATTAAAATCTTTCGACATCAATTATTTTTCGACGCATTCGAATATAGTTAATGTTTTATAATATTTGTTATTTGTTTATATGCAATGCACTTAAAACGACGTTTTTTCCGCTAGGCGTCTCTGCCACGTAAAATCATTCAAAGCATCGAGAGCAGAGACACCTGGCGGCCAACTATTTCGGCGTTTTAAGTGCATAACAAATAAAAAATATTATGAAATATTAACTTTTATAGAAATGCGTCGAAAAATAATTGATGACTGTAGGTTGTAATATCTGAATGATTTGTTTGAAATTAAATGGATTTTTTTTTACGATCCGAGTCGTATTTTGCAACTTTCTGCAATTTGTATGGACGTTACGTTCTTCAGTATGTGTCGTTTTTAACAATTTTTTCCTTACAGACGCAACAGATAGAAGTAAGAATAGTAGCGATCAAAAGCGCTTATTTTTCGCCGTAAGCCTTGACCCCCTTTCATTGAAGGACTTGAGCTCTAGGGATGGACGGGAAATCCAATAAAAGATAATTATGAAGTGATTGAAAGAAAGGAGTGGCTGTGTTCGTCGTTTTTCCCTGGATTGTAATTCCTCTTTTAGTCTTGTTGAACTGTTTGTTTAGGAGTTCTGTTCATGAATCTGACCAAGGCTGAGATAATGAGTTTATCTCAGAACAAGATTGGTCCTTGTCTTAAGATAGAAAATCTTCAAGGACTTCTCAAGGTAACTTTTTTTGTTTAAAGTTTGTGATTAAGATTAAACCTAAGAGAATGTGATTTATGAAAAGAATATGAATTGTCTATATATTAACTGTGGCATCAAACACCAATTTTATAATTTTTATACCTTTGCAACCTGAAAATTAAAACAGAATTAAAATACACTTTTACTAAAACATCTTTTGAGTACACTACTCAACTGATTTTATTGAAATACTTTCCTAAAACAATTATCAATTTTTTTTCAGAGCCGTATGACCTCCGCGCAACTCCGACTTTTCACCAGATCATAAGATGGGCGAAGCTTAAGATCTTATTCAAGTTTATCTTAAGCTCAAATTATTATATTATTATGTGAGATTTCGAAAAAGAAATGGTTGAAAGTTTCTCCTATTATTCTGGAACAAAAAGAAACAAAACGATATTTGCTCGACATTACCCTGAAGTTAGTTTTTCGAGTTTTGGCAAATTTAATATGAATACGAATTGAAAATTAATCTCTCGAATTGCAAAATGTAAATTATATATTTTGGTCTAGTGGACTAGGAATACTTAAACAAATTCCCTGTGTAGTGTGGGTATTACAGATCATTGTGTATTGTACAATGCCTGATACATGCTGACCGGAAATCCTCCGTCAAAGTTTGTGCAAAAATGTCGCGAGCACAAGAAACTAAAGCAGTAAAATACGAATTAAGCTTTAAGATATTTAGTTTGTTTACGATGTTATTAAAAAAGCTGATCTAAATACATATTTATCATCTAAAGTTTTTTGTTTTGTTTTTGCAAATTTTCTCGGTTTAACGGTTCATATTGAATTAAAATGTCATTTTTGCTTTTAATATTTTGGCATTTTTTAATTGATGCACGTCATTTAATATTTTTATGTTTTTAAAAAACATAAAAATATTTTGTTTTCTTAAATTCCTTGGTTCTCACTGTATTGTAATCTTTTTGTTCTGCTTGAAATTCAGCCTATGTGTGAATATGATTATTTTCAGAAAAATATGGAAGAAATAAATACATATGTTATCCTGGATGAATGGAATAATGATTTAGGAATCAAATTATTTAAATATGATAACTGATTAGCATAATTTTTGTGGACAGAATTCTAAAAATTTCTTTTTTTCTATTCAGTTCTTTATTTTCAACCTAAAGCAAGCTTAATGAGGGAGCAATCCCAAATTTGTTCTACCTTCTTTTTTATTCTTGATCAATCCCAAACGTATCCTAGTTAACCTGTTAATCATTCCCAAACTTATCCCAGCTTATCTTTGGTTCTTGATAAATCTCAAACATATCCTAGCTAACCTTTTGACCAATCCCAAACCTATCCTAGCTTATCTTCAGTTCTTGGTCAATCCCAAACGTATTCTATCTAACATTTTGATAAATCCCAAACCTATCCTAGCTTATCTTTGTTCTAGGTCAATCCCAAACGTATTCTATCTAACATTTTGATAAATCCTAAACCTATCCTAGCTTATCTTTAGTTATTGATCGATACCGAACCTATCCTACATTATTTTTGGATCTTGATCAATCTCAAACTTATCCTAGCTAGCCTTTTGGTCAATTCCAACCCTGTCCTAGCTTATTTACGGTTCTAAATCAATCCAAAACTTATCCTTGATTTGATTTGGTTCTTGATCAATCCAAAACCTATCCTAGCTTATTTCTTTTATTTTCATTGATTCAAAACCTATCCTAGCTTATTTCTTTTATTTTCATTGATTCAAAACCTATCCTAGCTTATTTCTTTTATTTTCATCGATTCAAAACCTATCCTAGCTTTTTTCTTTTTTTTCATCGATTCAAAACCTATCCTAGCTTATTTCTTTTTTTCATCATTTCAAAACCTATCCTAGCTTATTTTTTTTTTTTTTCATCAATTCAAAACCTATCCTAGCTTATTTCTTTTTTTTTCATCAATTCAAAACCTATCCTAGCTTATTTCTTTTATTTTCATCGATTCAAAACCTATCCTAGCTTATTTCTTTTATTTTCATCAATTCAAAACCTATCCTAGCTTATTTCTTGTTTTTCATCGATATCTAAACCATCCAAGCTTATGTTTGACACCAATCGATTCTAAAAATTAAATATTTGTGTGCAGGTTCAGGCCAGATATCTGTAATTGATCCCTCGGAGCATATTTATCTGGTGGATATTGCAGGGCCAGGGATTCATCAGATACAATCGTAAGTTGCAATATTTCTCATGAACCAGATTACAAACATCTTATTTTTAAAAAAATGTTTGGGATTTAACGCGATTGTTAAGTTTGATCAAATGCCTGATGACTCTGGGTACAAAAACCCTTTACAACTTTTTGGTTAAGAAATAATGGTTTTTCTACAAATTGAAACACAATTGATTAATCAATTTGTAGAGAAGAGGATAAAGATGAGTTCTACCTACTTAATTATTTCAATAATAAAATTGTAAGAAGTAAAACAAATGTATCTTTTGGCGAGAACGCAAGCTTTAAAAATTTTAATATCTATCAAATTTCAGATTAGATTCTAAACCTGTGCCTGAAATACTACTACCCGAAGATCAAGTTGTTACAAGGGAGGAATTGATTCAGTCGGTCAACCTGCCACAGTCTGCAGAGGATACCACAGACCCGGTCAACCTGTCTCCTCAACAACCTGAAGAACCAGCTGATATTGTACAGAATTGTGGATTTCTACGGAAACCTGCCAAACAACAAATTCATTACCTAGAGGATGCAGTTGAGTTCGCAAACAGAAAATCCAAGAAAAGAAATAACGATGTTACACCGCCCAAAGGTCAATTGACATATTTTTTAGCTTTCAGAATATCTGTTTAGTTATATTTTCAGCCCCTTTATTTAGTTTACAGGTGTGATGAGTGTGAGTATATTGGTCCAAGGAGTCTTCATGCTCAAAACCATAGTCAGCACAAGCCTAGAGGTAACAAATAACAGAGACAGAGTTTTCGAGATTAATTTTTCTATCTGCGAGATTAATTTTTCTATCTGCAAGATTGATAACTTTTTTTTCGCCAAAAAGGACAGAAAATTATTTAATTATTTTTCAAAATAATTTTTTACGATTCATTGAGATATTTTCTTTTATGATATTTTATAAATATTTATCCTGAGCTGAAAACTTTAGAATGGAATATCCTTAATCCCGATCTGTTAATTAATCTGGAGATTAATAACAAGTGGAGAACAAGACTTATTTAATCTGGAGATTAAGAAAAAGAGGAGATCAAGCATTAATCTCCATATCCACCATTCTAAAGTTTTCAGCTCTGAACTATTTGGACTTCTACTTGTTACGTGATGGATTTATTTTCATACCTCTGTGGTCAATGGTCAATGGTCATTTTCTCTACTTCATTTGTTGCGGGTTTTTCAGTGGTCATTTTATGCTTCAGTGGACTCTGGTCAAATATTGTTTTTGCATTGGTCATTTTCCATAATTCAGTTGATTATTTTTTGTACTTTAGAGGCTATTGGTCATTTTCCATAATTCAGTCGATTGTTTTTTGTACTTTAGAGGTCATTGGTCTTTTTCCGCAATTCAGAGAAGTAGCAATATTAATGATTTTAATGATTTTCACTTACTAACCCTAGCAACCAGGCTGATGAATGGAGCCTAAAGCTTACCCTAAAACTCATGATTTGATTTGATTTGACATAAAATAAGAATACTTATTTTGTTTAGGAACTAGGGGAACTAGAATTGACTGTGATAAATGTGATTATTTTGCCCTGCAGAATATAGATATGAAAAGACACAAGGCGTCAAAACATTCGGAAGGCACGGAAACTTTTCCTTGTGATAGTTGTGATTATGTAGCCCGTTATGCTTCTCTTTTAGCAGTACATATAAAGTAAGATCATTAAAAGTAGAACTTTCTTTAAGACATTCTAGGGAAAATATTCAAGTTTTTATGTTTTAGAGTAAAACATTTGAGAAAGCAGGCGTACTCCTGTGATGATTGTGATTTCTCCACAATGTATGCAAGTGCTTTCAAGAGACACAAGCAAATCCATACAGATGAACTTGGATGCTCAGAGTGTTCATACAAAACCAACAGACTGGATAATCTTAAAAATCATATAGCTTCAAAACATGAAAATATAAGGTTAATATGAAGAATAACTTGAAAATCTGAGGTTTTTGCTTAAATCTTGATCCATGATCGTCATTTATATCTATTTATAAAAAAAACTGGCTTAGGAACCGTATCCGGATCCGTTGGATCCGCAAGATTTTGGCTTCCTGTATCCGGATCCACAAAAATATGCGGATCCACGGATCCGAATCCAAGGGGTAAAATATAAACCAAAAACTGCAAGAAAACTTTTTTACTCCTAAAATCCAAATCTGAACTTAGGAAAAAGAGAGATTTTAAAAATTTCCTCATTTTTGAATGGTTCATCAAGTTTTAGGATAAAAATAAGCGAAAAAAATAAACAAAAAATTTGAAAATTATTTTTTGTCAAAAAAAAAATTCAGTAAATCTTAAAGAAATTACCTGAATCCGGATCCGCATCAAAAATAAATGGATCCTATGCACTGATTCAAACCTGACTGAAAAAGAGTTTAGCTGGCACTACACTAATCAGTCAATTTGATTGACAGGATTATGATATTATCACAGGATTCCCTGTTCCTACAACGGATGCACATTTACCGGGGCAAGCAAAAGTTCAGTCAACAACCATTTTAAAGCTACTCATCAAGGGATTAGGTATTTATAATCAATAAATCAGTTAGTTATTTATCTATCCATTAAACATCTATAAATCAAGTTCAATCAAGAAAAATTAGCCAAATCAACCAGATCTGAATCTTAACAGCATGCGACAAAGTTGGAATTTCATGGCTTAAATGCATAATCAGTGCAATAACTAAACCTTAAAATTAACAAAGCAAAAAAGATATGCCCCACGTTTCTTTGGTAGGACAAAATTACTGATAAATTATATAATTGGTTAATATTAAACATAATTGTTTTCTTTTAGATTTAGTTGCGATTTCTGTAGCTTTAGCTCCGCCAGAAAACAAAATCTGTTGGAGCATATTAAAGCTAAACATCATGAAGAAACACCAGACAAAGTCAGGTAGTTATTTGTAGATTCTGTTATTAGTTAAAGAAAGACCAGACAAAGCCAGGTTACTTATAGATTCTGTTACAAACTAAAGAAACACCAGACAAAGCCAAGTAGTTACTTGAAGATTCTGTTTTAAACTTAAGAAACATCAGACAAAGCCAGGTAGTAATTTGTAGAACCGATTTGTAGATTATGTTATTTACTAAAGAAAGACCAGTGTTGCGCAATTTTAGAGAATTGCTATCTATTCCCGATAATAAATAAATGACAAGGTTAAGTAACGTAAATCTTTATTAATAAATACAATCTTCTTAGAAAGGGTTCCGATCAGTTCACAGATTGATAACAGCACAGCGGTTTCAAAAACTAAATAAACATATTGTTAGTGTATGTAGCAAATTTGAGCAATAACTTTGCTTAATTAGCAATGTTGGCAGTTAAGCAATACATGCTTAACCCAACACAGGGTTAGACTCGTGTATTAGTAGTGATGGCTAACCTAAGATTAGACTTCGCTTCTTGTTTATCAATAAAAGCAATAAATGTGCTTTTTGCTTAGCTTCTCAGCAATTTAAGTGAAAAGTATCTCTTTAGGACTCTGTAGACTATTTATATTCAGTCTAAATAAATGTTAGGGAATTCAAATTCATGACAATCACCCTATTATCCCATGAACTATCAGTCATGGACTTAATTGCTATTAAATAGCAATAATTGTGTGTTATCCAATTACACACTAAATCAGCAATTAAACTTAGTTTATGGCAATAAGTTTGCTTTTACTGTATTGGAGCAATAATCTTGCCCAATAAAACTGGTTAATAGGAACTAGTCCGAACTGAGCAATTTAACTCTATTTTGCTTCTTTTAAAGCAATCAGTTGCATTAAATGCATTACTTGGCAGAGAATAAAAAGTTTATCCTTACTTGTTTCGCTGATCGGGGTTGAACAGAGCTAGGGTAGATCCAGCAGGGTCTTGAGCAATAAGTTTGCTTAAGGAGAGCAATAAGTTTGCTTAAGGATGCTGCTGAACCGATATAAACCACAATGCAAGTTCACGTGCACGCTCACGCTCACGCTCACGCTTGCTAAATTAAAAGTATATAAAGTGCAAGAACAAAAAGATAAAATATAACCCAATATGCACTGCTCAAATAAGAATTTAGTTTAATTAGAATATTGAAAAAAGTTAAATGAAATAAGAAAATCTTCCAAATTTAAAAGTTTTAGAACAGATCAAAAAACGACGCTTTTGGCATCAATGGGTTAATAACTATTTCACTGTTTAAAAAGATTTCACTTGTAAATAAAGCCGTAAATAGAGCCTTTAATATAAAATTCTACCTCAGATCCGCCGATTTCACAAACTAAATCCAACTAAAAAATGAAAGAATTCCAAATTATTAATTAAAATATTTTAACAATTTTAACCAATTTGACTTTATGTGGAAAAATTTGATCAATCGTTCTAACCTGGTAGTGAGACCAGATGACCAAGGATACTGCACAGAATTTAGTGCAAACTGGTTTAAAGTTGTAAACAAACAGTAAATAAACAAACAGAATATGTAAAAAATATTGAGAATATTATTATTCAGAACCAAATCACGAATTTAATCAAGCTATTTATGGGATTGCTCTAAATTTACAAAGTTCGCTAAGGGACTGTTCTTTGTCAAAAAAAAATTGTCGGTTATGGGATTGCTCTAAATTTACAAAGTTCGCTAAGGGACTGTTCTCAATTTACAAACCGCGTTCCAACAACATTTAACAAATTATTGAGAACCATTAAATAAATTACACAACAACCAGACAAAGTCAGGTAGTTACTTGTAGATTCTGGTTAAAGCTGAAAAACACCAGACTAAGCCAGGTAGTAATTTGTAGATTCTGGTTTGATTTGAAAAAAACACCAGTCAAAGCCAGGTAGCTAGAAGTTTGTACAAATTAATTAAAATTTTTCAATATTTTTCTGACTCTTAGAAACATTTATTTAAATATTTATAAATTTAGTTTCTAAAGTTGACTATCAATTCAATAGTAAACATATACGATCTAGAGATCTAATGTTGTATATTTTAGATTTGCTGCTCCGAAACCATTAAGTGCATTTCTTCTTTTTTCTAAAGAGGAGTCCCGTCATCTATCAAAAGTAAGCTTAGAATTATTCAAACAGTAAAAATCTTCGCTTTTTAAACATTTAATTTATGAGTTTTTTTACTAGGAGAAGCCGTGGTTAACAAAAGCAGAAAAAAGGAAAATTTTAAAGGTATTTTTTTAACATTTGGTTGTGACGAACAAAATCACGGTGGTAGTTTTTTTTTAATATTGTTTGAAATTATGAAAATCTTAGCAAGAAACTTTTTTTTCTGGGGGGGGGGGTTGAAATTACTCCAGTCTTTATTTGGTAGTCTTCGGTTATTGGAGTGTGACGTCCATAAAAGTCTGATTTGGTTTGTGAATTACTCTTTTAACTGCATACATTCTAGGAAAAGTATATAAGCCTGGCTGAGGTTGAAAGATCCCGATATAAAGAACTGTACCAGAACAGTCGTAAGAAGGTGAAAATGAACAATGAAGAAACTATCCCTCTACACCATCTCATATCTCAGGAGAGTTTAACAATAGGGAAGGAAGCGTATACATCATAAAGAAACAAAATTCTAACTAGTCAGGCCCAGAAATGGAACAGTTTTAGGCGCGCAGGGGTCAGAGAATTTAAAATGTGTTAAACTTCAAGAGTTCGATTTAAAAACTTGGACTTTTATTTGATACACTTAAATATTATAGTATAGAATTAATTGTTAAACAATGAGTTGATCAGGAGGAAGAAGAAAAAGAACTTGTTATTGAGATGAAGGAACCGGTTATAATCTGGGACAACAACACCCTGACTACGAACCTAAAGACATCCTCCTACCTGGTCCCCGACCAACCCAAGGAAACACAGTTTTCAAACCCTGATGATCTTCCTGATGCTACTAACTACGTGTATGCTGATGGAGGACTAGTTCGTGTTATTGAAGAGACTGGAGAAGATGAGGAGAACAAGAATACAGAGCAACAGAGCAGAGCAGATAAGCCAAGGATGTTTTCTTGTCAGGACTGTAATTACAGGTTCTTGGTTCATTTTCTATAATCTTGATTTTAAAAGTCTTAAAGTTTAAGTTTCTAGCCTTTTCAAGCATTTCGCGCCCCTTTTTAAACCAATAATTTTAGTATTTTAATGTTTGTTTATCTGCGAATGTTTTCTTAAACTGTTGAACCTACTGTTGATCTTTATAATCAAAACATTTTATTTGATTGGGAATTTTCAAAATTATAAAGAATGAATTTTTTTCGCCATCTAATCCAGTGTTTGATCAACAAACATTTCTGGACCGAGCGCTGAACCTAAGGTAATCTAGGGGGGGGGGGCGTGTGGTGCGGATAGGACGAATGTGAAAAGCTGACTAAACGTTAGTTCTCTCTGATATTAGTCCAATCAATAAAGCATTTTTATTTATGAAATATCGTTAAGGTTTGTTTTCGTAATTGTTAATTTACAAATTAAGCTGTTGCAACAATTAAAAATTTTGAAATCTTAAAAATGTTCCTTCATTAAAAAAAATACTGCGTTCATTTCAAAGTTTTCTTGTTTTAACTGTATTTTATGTTTACATAAAGACTTGCATAACTTGGGTATTAATATGCTTCTTAAATAAATAATTGTTATTTTTATTTATAAAATATTATTGTAGAGCCAAGCACGCTCATCACATCAAGTTACATCGTCAGTCAAAACATATTTCCGAGTGGATCCTTTGTCATCTTTGCCAGGAATACGGAGACAAATTTGAAACATTTTTTCCATTTACTTTCCTTGAAAATAGAAATAATCATCGTATTTTCGCTTCTCTATATCATTAGTGTTGCGGCCATAATTGTTGGTACTGGAGGGAGCATTAGGACAAAAGCTCTCACCTGCACATATTGTTAACATCCAAACGTTTAACTTTGTCAAAAAAAAATTGTCGGATTCATGTCGTTACTTAACAATCATAAACTACTCGGTTAGAGATATTGAACGAATTATAAAATTGCAAAATTGCTTAATTTATGTTGTCAAGAAAATGCTTTTGTTTAAAATTTACTGTTTTAACGTCAGATTTTGCCCATTTTTTGCTTAGTTTTTAAGTTGGATTATTCCTTAACATTTCTTGAATTTTTTGTAACATCTTTCTCTAATTTGACTTCTCTCTGTAGTACAAAGCCAAGAGAAAGGATTCCTTGAAACGGCATATACTGCTTGAACACGAGAATATCAGGTAATTCAACAAACATTATCTAATATTTATCCTCCATTACTCGAGAACTTGAAACAGCATATACTGCTTGAACACGAGAATGTCAGGTAATTCAACAAACATTATCTAATATTTATCCTCCATTACTCGAGAACTTGAAACAGCATATACTGCTTGAACACGAGAATGTCAGGTAATTCAACAAACATTATTTAATATTTATCCTCCATTACCCGAGAACTTGAAACAAGGGTAAAATGAATACAAACTAGATAAAAAGTATTTATGTTGTGAATAAAAGGTTAAAAGGAGAAGTTGCATCTAAGATATTTCTCAATATCTCAGCCAAAAATGGTGGTGGCCGGTGCTTATTTTGCATGTACACTAATTTGATGACCTAGGAACAGAAAGTAAGGGGGAAATGAAAATTAATTAAATAAATACAATTTTAAAACGTATCAGGGGCTTCCTTTAATATTTTCCACTTTTTTGCCTAAACAACGATTTAAGAGTAAAAAAAAAGCTCGGGTTGGGCAGAATCCTGAAGTAAATTGTTTTAAAAAAGCAAGGTAGATATTTCTTGCCTCTATGAATTTTATCTTTCTGGTTTGATTTTGTTTGTCCAGGTATGAATGTAATTACTGTGATCATAAGTCGACTGACCCGGCAAGTTTAAAGAAACATATTGGAAGTATGCACGAAGGTCAACTACATTCCTGCCCATATTGCCAGGTAGAAAAAAACTGATTTAATACGTCTTTTATGAACGCGGCATTTTTGTCAAATTTTTCTTCCTCTAGGATAGAAAACTGTAAATAAAATGCACTATTATTCGGACACTGATTTTAAAAGTTTTTCCTACATTTTCCTTGAAAAAAGATTCTGTTTCAAATTTGTCCGATTTTATATTTTCTCATTGTTTATCAATACTTTCGAAATTTAAGTTATCAAGAAAATGCTTTTGTTTCAAATGTCATGCTTCAAACTATTTTAGGCGAAGTTTAAGCATAAAAGTACAAGATTTCGACATATCAACGCAGAACATACACTTCCTAGGTAAACCAAGTGGATTTTAATTTTAGATTTTTAACTTATTTTATCGCATGTTCTATACTGGTTTCGAAATCAATGAGGAACAACGACGACTTTAAGACTATAAATATATTTTTGCATGGTACGCGGCATTGTGCTGTGTGCGCACATCCTTTTCCTGAACAAGTTGATTTTTAATCTTTAAGCAATATTTATTATATCATATCTGTTCGGTTCCATAGTAGTAAAGCTATCGTGTAGGAATTCCCATTATTACACGGTTCAGGAGGAACAATTTTAATATTGTTCGCTTCCTTGCGTTTAAGAATGCTTATTCTTACACTGTAGGTGTAGAATTTTCATTCTTTAACGCTCAGACCGTGTAAGAATGGAAATTATTACACGGTCTGAGCGTGAAAGAATGTATATTCTTACACGCTCCAAGCATTAAAGAATGGAAATTCTTACACTAGTTGAAGAATATTCATTCTTACACGCTCCTTGTACTGACAACATGCACAGGGCAAACTCACCTTTTTCTTTTACATTAATACATACAAACTTACCTTTTTTAACTTAAAAACAACATGCTCACTTACCTTTTTCTTTTATATCGAAACATGCAAACTTACCCTTTTTACTTTATTAAAACATGCTCACTAACCTTTTCATGCTCACTTACCTTTTTGGTTTTTTGAAGTATTGATATACCTTAATTCAGAAATATCAATTTGAATCTCAACCCTAGTCCTGACAGAAGAGTGGAAATTAACATTTTCTGACCATTCGATCCCAAAAATATGGACGATGCTTTTAGCCTTCCATTAGACACTTCCATCAAACTGCCGAGTCTTAAAGCATACTGCCCGACTGCTTACTTTATTAATTTTTTTTCAGTTCATTTTCATTCAAACCAAGTTCGGTGAGATTTTGCAAATCTCTGCATACTTGTATAGTAGTCTGAGTCACCATATCTCACATAGTTCGAGATGAGGAAGTGAAACCACAATCAAAACCAAAAAAAAAGTATAAAAAACTTATCATTGAAATATTAGTGTCACATTTTTAATGGAGTCTTAGCACTCCATAGCAATGAAAACAAACCAGTAAATCTTGCTTCATTAATAAAAGACAAAGATTTTCATCAGTTCATGTCGAACTGATTCTTACTAGATAACCTGATTTTATCTCCTCTTTTTGGAAGATTTAGGATCTAATAATCAGAAAATGATTTCTTCTGTAAATGAAGACACGATATTGTTCAGTAGATTAAGACAACACAATACAATACCTTCCTTCCATCTAAAAAAAACTCCGGGCACATTTAACATGCTGTATCTCAATAACTTGAAAAACGAGCAAAATCGTTAGAAATTGGTAAACAAACAAACTAAACTAAATTAAGGAAACAATCACACCACATGCATTACTTTCAAATTAAGAACCAATTTTTACTTTTAAAATGTTTTTTTAACATTAGAAAAATAAAACAGTGTTAGTCAGAACAAGAGCATAAAACTTATTTGCAACCTTTCATAATGTTAACTGTTCCAACTTAAAATAGTCTGATTTAACCAGAATTATTTTTTAATATAATTTCTTGAGTATGTGCCCATGGAACCTCACAAATATGATATAATAATAATCTTATGAGGATAAAAATGTAATAATGGAATTCTTAAACTCGATGAAATAATCTTGATGCTTTCTTTAACTCAGGCCTGCGGCCTTCGTTAAAGAATGCATCAAGATTATTTTATCTCGTTTAAGAATTTCCATTATTACATTTTTTTCCTCATAAGATTATCATATTATGACATTTGATTGTTGAAATAATTACAAAATGCTAGACATAAATGTTCCCAATGTGAGTTTACCTGTACCCAGCGGGCTGGTCTCAAATCTCATGAGAAGAAGGAACATTTACAGGCGAATAGGTAACTTTCACAGGACACAAGGTGACATTCACAGGAGAATAGGTAACATTCACAGGAAATCACAGTCTTCGTTGATTATATAAATTCATTAAAGAGACTTGAGATTTAAATTTTGATTTATTTAAAGATGTCAAACTGCATGGATAGTGGATAAACATAAATATAGAAACAAAGAGAAGCTGTCAATTAACAGCTTTTCACTTGTAAATTGAAACCCCACGTTTCGCAGAGGAGCCTAACAGGCCTACACCTAATGATTTGGTTTGATTCGATTCGATTCGATTCGATTCGACTCGATTCGATTCGACTCGACTCGACTCGACTCGACTCGACTCGACTCGACTCGACTCGACTCGACTCGACTCGACTCGACTAGACTAGACTAGACTAGACTAGACTAGACTAGACTAGACTTGAACTCGTCATTTGAAAAAAGGTTGTTAGAAATCAAAGCTTATATAGAAAATCCGTCTTCATTGTATTGAAATAAACGCTCACCACTGTAGGTAACATTCACAGTAGAATAGGTAACATTCTCTTTAATATGGTTTATTCATTGCATCCTGTTATTTCAACTGGTTTCTTGTTTTTATTTTAGCAAGGACGATGTGTTGTACCTAAAGCCGGCCCTCCTTCTTTTTAAGAAAGGAAGATTTAATCTGATAATAGCTTTTTTTTCTTTAAAATTTAATCTTTCAAATTACAAAAACAGTAGTTTTTTGGTGATTATATGTAGACCTTTTTTATTATTAAATTAAATTATCTGAAATAATTTTAATTGAGTACAAGATCAGGCGATTATATGAATAGAATGAAGACGACTTTTTTGTCTAAGTTTTCATTGTTAACAAGCTTTTTTCGAATTTCATCTCTTGACTTCTATGTTTATGTGTATCCATGCTGTTTAACAGCTTAATAAAAATCAAAATTGAAATCGCAAGTCGTCTTCATTGTATTGATATATTCGCCTGCCGCTATAAATATTATATATAGAACTTATCTTAATACTTTCATAAAGATAAGTTATGTTTCTTTACAACTTTTCTAGAAATAAAGTTGTGAAGATTATATTGTAAATGATTGTTTGTTTAGTTCTATCTGCATTGAATCTAAAGATCTGTTTTTTTAGTTCTATCTGTGTTGAATCTAAAGATCTGTTTGTTTAGTTCTATCTGTGTTGAATCTAAAGATATGTTTATTTAGTTCTATCTGTGTTGAATCTAAAGATCTGTTTGTTTAGTTCTATCTGTGTTGAATCTAATGATCTACGGACTAAGAAGAAGAAGATAAACAACAGGCCAAAGCGACCTAGTACTAAGGTAGCGGCAATGTTTAAAGTCAGAGTCAAGATATTTTTCAACAAAAATTTTTAAAAATAGACATCTTCTACTTTTCTATTTTGTTTTAGTATCTGCTCTTCTGTTTTAGTATCTTCTCTCTGTTTTAGTATCTGCTATTCTGTTTTAGTATCTTCTCTTCTGTTTTAGTATATTCTCTTGTTTCAGTATCTCCTCTTATGTTCTAGTACTTTTTCCGTTTAGTATCTTCTTTTCTGATTTAGTATCTCTCTTCTGTTTAGTATCTTCTCTTCTTTTTTAATGTCTTCTCTTCTGTTATTTATCTTCTCTTCTGTTTTAGTAAATCTTCTCTTCTGTTTTAGTATCTTATCTTCTGTTTAGTATCTTCTTTTCTGTTTTAGTATCTTCTCTTCTGTTTAGTATTTTCTCTTCTGTTTAGTATCTTCTCTTCTGTTTTGTATCTCCTCTTATGTTTCAGTATCTTCTCTTCTGTTTAGTATCTTCTCTTCTATTTAGTATCTTCTCTTCTGTTTTAGTATCTTCTTTTCTGTTTTAGTATCTTCTCTTCTGTCGTGATGTGCGTCCTCAAGTGATCAAGGAGAACCCAACCTGGTCTCTTATTCAGATTGGAAAAGGTCAGATTTATTCCATTGTTTCTAATCTTGAGACAGGATTTGATAATTTGGGTTTAATTATCAAGTATTAAGAAATCATGCAGTTATGTAATCCTAAAATTTTCAATTTTATATTACGTAAACTAACCAACACAGCCGTTACTATTAGTGTACATACACTATAGTGTACAATGTTCACTTGATAAGATCATAAACTTTTAATGTGACATGTCGATTGTAGATTGATTAACGATTTAATAAATGGAATATAATAATTTAATCTAATCTCTAGAACTAGGAAGAAGATGGAGAGAACTTCCTAATGAAGTGGTGAAGGTAACTTTACAAATTGATGTTAAATTAAATTTTATTAAAAAAATTAAAAAGAATTAGATTGAAAATATTGTCTTATACGACTTTTCTTCTGAAATTTCAAACTAGAAAAATTGAATGGCAGTTTTTATTTTCTTGAAGGGATTGACCGGCTATGTAAGGTAGTCGAACTGAGTATGCAGTGTTGTGGAAAACTTCTTTCGGATTCATTTGAGACATATTAAACTTTTCAAAGATCGGTAAATCCTGAGTTTGAGCGCAAATTCGATGTTCAAAACTCCTACTTTGGGGGTGGATACGTTTTCAGAATTAGTTTTTTATTATTGAATAACGACGACAAAAAATAAATTAAAAATCATACAGTAATCTAATTGGATGGTTAGGTTAGGTTAGGTTAGAATCAATTAGTTCGTTTTCATTGTAATATTGAATTTCTTATTTTCTCTGAATTTATTCGCAGAATTCTTGAAATTCTTCGAATCTCGTCTTTTTCAATAATATTCCAGAAAATCTTTGTGAATAATGAGAAACCAGAATATTGAGAAAATAGAAACTAATAATTGAACAAGATTACTTATTTTCGATGATAAGATTAATCTTTTTCTGAACCTGTTCCTAAGCAATTAATTAGTTTACTATAGAAATTTTTTACATATTATGTCGTCGTTATTTAATAATTTACTAAACCGTTAATTATTGACCTGTATACTGGTTTAGGCGTATGATGAGTCCTATGCTGAAAGCTTGCGAGAATATAGAGAATTGGGAGAACTTGCTAAGGTAGGATTGGTAAATATAAATACTCCCCCCCCCCTCTCTTTTTTTTTGAGGGGGGGGGGTCATGAATAAACTTTGATTAATTTTCATTATTATTATTTGTTTATAAAGAATATAAATTAAAGTTATAATTTAAAAGCTTTGTCTGGTCAAGGAAGAGTATATTATCCATGGTTTCTTGATAATTAATATTGTAGTTTCTCTACACAGGTGACATGCAAGTTTTTTGCTACAAAAGCAATGTAGCAAATTGTAGGAATTACACACTTTCCAAGCTGGAAAAACTGCAATATCTTCCACAACATTTATTGTGAATCTTTCGAATATTCAAATACAGGGTCATTTAAAATAACAACGACAGTTCATATAAAGAGATTGTTTTAGTTTTTAGAAGGTCGAGGATTTCTGTGTGTTGTCTATAGATACGTATCGGCGGCTAGAAGCGCTGACCCCTATTTTATCAAATGCCGGGTTGTCCCTTAAAGGGTACTGACCAGCTAGGCATGGTAGTTGAGATGAGAGTGTACTTAGAGACAAATTTTATTTACGATTCATTTGACACTAATAAGACGTGTTTTGGGTGTATAATTGCTCAGTAAGAATTATTAAATTATTCTTTAAAAAATATTCTCAAAATGGATCCTCCAGAGTCCAGAATGTACAATCTGGAGAATTTCATAGATCGATTTTTCCGCTCTTACTCAGAAATTCTACACCGTAAAAACGTCCTGTGGGTGTCTAATGAATCCTTGAAATACTGTACTTAGCTAAACTACCATGTCTAGTCTGTCACTTCCTTTTATAATAATAATAAAATATATATAATTTAGAAGAATGAAGAATCAGAAGACAAATTGAAACCTCCGATTAGTTCTTATTTTATATTCATGAAAGAGGTAAAAATATGGTCTACTTATTAGTTATTACTTTTGAAATTAGGAATAAAAATCCTTAAATGGGGGGAGGGGGTAACTCGATATCACGTTATTATTATCACGTTTATTAGTTTTATTTTCAAAATACATCGTGAGAAAAACTTAAAGGGAGTGGCCAGGCTATGTAAGGTAGTTGAACTGAGTATGCAGTGTTATGGAAAACTTCTTTCGGATTCATTTGAGACATATTAACGCTTTTTAAAGATCTGTGAATCCTGAGTTTGAGCGCAAATTCGACGTTCAAAATTTCTACTTTGGGGGTGGATACGTTTTCAGAATTAGTTTTTTTTGAAATTATTAAATAACGACGACATAAAAAGTAAAAAAGTTCTACAATAAACTACAGACGTCATGTATGGGAACATGTTGAGAAAATAAAAATTAATCTCATCATCGAAAATAAGTATCTTGTTCAATTATTAGTTTCTATTTTCTCATTATTCACAAAGATTTTCGAAGATTTTCTAGAATTACTGAAAAGACGACATTTGAAGAATTTAAAGAAATCTGCTAATAAATTCAAAGAAAATTAGAAATTTAATATATTAATGAAAACGAAATAATCGATTTTAGCATTGATTTATTGACAAACTTCTTTTGAGAAATATGTTCCTAACTATCTTATTAGATTACTATATAATTTTTACTTTATTTTTCCTTGTCGTTATTTAATAATTAAAAAAAAACTAATTCTGAAAACGTCAACACTGCATACTCAGTTCAACTACCTTACATAGACGGTCACTCCCTTTAACCTTTCACTTTCCATCACAATTTTCCGCTTTTTCTCTTTCATACTTTTTAGTCTGCAGATACGGTATAATTTAGTCTGCAGATAAGGTATAATTTAGTCTGCAGATACGGTATAATTTAGTCTGCAGATACGGTATAATTTAGTCTGCAGATACGGTATAATTTAGTCTGCAGTATAATTGAAAAAGTAAAATTAAACACTCTGAAAGTTTTAACATTGTTGAATAAGAGAACCAAACGCGATTAACTTTAACTGGACGAAAAACGAATGAATCTCCCTTTTGTGGCATTTGCAGCAGTTTTTGGGAGATTTTTTGGGGAAAAAACGGACTATTTGTAACAGATTTTATTGAATAAGATAATAATTAAGTTACTATTTTTGGCAAATTTTGTGTGTCTAATAGTTCTTATGTGGGTTGTTTGGGTGTAATTGGTGTATATTGTACAATGTTAAACCAGATGAATTCTAGATAAACCCCTTGCTGGTCTGCAGGTTTAATGTTGATAATGATAAAGTAGTAGTTCTTCCTAATCATGGGAGACAGCTAATACGAAATAATTTTATAGATTCTTCAAAGAGGATAATAGTATCTTTAAAGTATAGATCTAAATGGAGCAATGTTCTAATTAAAGGAAGCGCTCCATCCAGAGTTTTTCTTCTCCTACAGTTAAAAATGTATAAAACTTTAATAAAAAAAACTTTTTAACATCAGAACTTTAAGAACATTTGTGCACAATCTGATAAAAATGTGCAACACCATAACTTACAATCATACTTCAGAACTTATTAAAGTTTTTATTTTTGTATAGTCTAAAAACGTGTTCAATACCAATAGCAAAGAAAACTAAAATTTTCAAAAAAAAATCTTAAACCGCGTTTTTAACCTTATACTCTCATACTTGTAAACATGATTTTTTTTCTAAAAATATATTTGAGACTATCATAATCATACATGTATAATTTATTAAATTAACATTCTGTAACATTCTTTTCTGAATACAAAGGAAAAAGAATAATTTAACCTGTCTTTAACAAATAAATATTTAAATCTCAGATAATGATAACAATGATTTTTTAGGTTCGGAGTGAGGTTAGATTAGATAACCCTGGAATAGATATAAAACAGGAAACATTAGAGATTGGAAGACGGTAATATTTAATTTTACCTAACAAAAGTAATCTTTTCGTCTTCTTGTAAACTTTTTTAATTATTTAAGATGGCGTAATTTAAGCGAGAAGGCTAAAGAAAAATACAGGTACATTTTAAGATTAATCTTTTCGAAAGACTTTTTAAAAAAAAGTCTTAAAAATTATTTACATATTACTTAAACATTAGCTCGATTTGTATTTTACTAATGCAATTATCCATAACCTATTTTCTGTTTAACTGAAAAATGATAAATACCATGTTGCAGGCAAAAATTCAGATTATCTTGGAGACGGTTCAAGATCGCTCAGGTAAATATTTTGCTTAAAAATTGGAAATATTAATTTTGATTGGGAAAAAAATATTTTTTTTTTTTACAGCAAACTAGTTGATAAGCTGCTGCATTTTGTGATTAATTACTTGTCTAATAGTTAATTATTACTAATGCCTAATCAATTTATTGATTAATTGAAGGATTAATTTATTGGTTGATTGATTATTTGTATGGTTTATTTATATTTTTCATTTATTTCTTAATTGATTTAATGGTTTGATTGATTGATTGATAAGTTGTGTAATTGATTTAAAGAATTTCGTATTAAGGCCAACATAGAGCGGAGACTTGACGGCGTTGAAGAGCTTGATGAAGCAGCAATCCTTGCTGAGCAGGAACAGGAACCAGACCTAGAACTGGAACAGGAACCAGACCTAGAACAGGAACAGAATCCAGACCTAGAACAGGAACAACAATATGGAAATGAACCGGAATTTAAGTCTCGGATTGATCGGAAACAGGAAGAGAATGAAAAAGAACAGGAACTTGAAATCAGATTAGACGAGGGGCTGGAGTTAGAAGATAAACAGCGAATGGTAATTAGACTAGAAATGTTAGATTTCCTTTATTCGATGGTTTGAGAAAATGTCATTTTATTAAAATAAACGCAAGATTTACCTCGCAGTCTTGCATCATTTTCTTTTTTTTTACAATTTTATTATTTGAAACATATTTTTGAAAACACATTAATTGCCTAATTACCAGTTTAACCTGATATTTTATTAAATTTTGATTTCCCAAATAATTCCTATTTTATTTTCTTAGTTACCTCAATGTTGTGATGAATATGTTTTCTGTTGTAGAAAAGAATATAATTAATGATGTTCAAAATATTTGTACAAACGATGTTCTAGATTAAATTGTACATTAAGTCATTAAGTATTTTTTTTTAGGTTTTTGAAATAGAGGAGGAAAGTTCTACTTTGTTTTCTGAGAATTCTAGTCAAGAAGTTTTAAATTCAGAATTCAGCCACAGGTTTGACTCATTTTTTTAGTATTAGAATTTTTTTATAAAATCCGAATTGGTTAATAGGAAATATATTTCACCATCACCGAATTTTAAATATATTTCTTTGGTTGTTTCATCAGTCTTAAAGCATTAAACAATTTATTAAAATTCACGTTTTTGTTTCAACCCTGTTATCTTTATAATCTCTGGGAAAAATAGCAAAAATCGTAATTTAAAGCCACGCGCGGGAAAATTGGGAAAGTAACTATGAGTATCCTGGGCAACACTTGATTCTCTAGCGTCTATAATAAAGACTAACTTTGGCGCAAAATTTACAATTTTTATGTTTCAGTCATGTATTAGTGTACGAAGATGCGTTGGAAGAAGCATGTAAGAAGAAGAAAATAGTGGAGGAGAAGATGAAACTGGTAGAAGAGAAGATAAAAGAAGAAGTTTCTAGGATTGATAAGTCCGGGACCAGGTTGGCAGGCGCCAGGAAGATTATTGGAATGACAACTCTCTGAATAGTTCTTGTTAAAAGGACTTTATGCGTAATATCAAGTGACCTTCCAATTATAGAGTGGCATGTCCGATTTACAACAATACCTTTTAACTTTTGTTTGCAGGGTACCGTTGTTAATCAGCTAAGCCTATCTTTAAATGGAAGGTCAATTGAAATTACGCTCAGAGTCCCATTAAGTAAACCATGTCAAGTACTAGGTGTAAACTAAAAGCTTACAAAGTCTTCTGTTTACATTCCTCCCACGCTAATGTACTGCTGTACACCAATTGCAAAAACAAATTATCTTTATAATCTAGTTTTTATGTTGCTGTAATCTATTTTTATAATTATAATGTGTATATTAAAAATAAGCGTCAGTACTTTCTGTGATAGTTCCCTATAATAATCTATATCGTCAAATAAATTATATCTTAAGAAGGGGGTCCACACTCCACTTTTGTATTCCTGAGGTATATTCTTATGGATTTTAAAATACACCAAGCGTTGAATCATTAAATATGCTTTTTGAAAAAATTGGTAGTTTTGAACAATTCAAGGCAAGGCAATTATTATTTTTATTGTTATCATTACTATTACTATTACTATTACTATTACTATTACTATTACTATTACTATTACTATTACTATTACTATTACTATTACTATTACTATTACTATTACTATTACTATTACTATTAATACAAATACTATATTTATTATTGTTACTATTACTTGTATTACTATTTTAACTACTATTGCTATTGCTAACTTGATGGGGTAAAACAGAAATCTAAGGTTAAAATGTTAATGGTTTTCAATGAGGTGTAGCAAAGCTTTAAGACTTAGTAATTTAAACCTTAATGCGAAGGATCAGCTAAGTAATCAATTTTTAACTTTAAATTACAAATCCGTGGAAAGTATCGAATCAGCTTTGGACAGAAGTACTCTTTGTTTTTGTGGGTATCATTAGCCGTCTTTTCTAGTTTCATAGAAATAAAAAGTATCCTAACAATAATAAATAATTAGCAATATATATATATGTATATAATAAAAGAATATGTATTGCCCCTGTGTATAGAAAGTCTGAAGAAATAATGAAAACAAAGTATAAGTATGAATAATAATAGAATACATAATAACTATATTGTTAACGCCTAGGAATAATAATAGTAATTACAGTGGGGGAATCTATCTAGAATTTAGAACACAGAACTAAAATGAGAAAATTAACAATTTGAGGACAATAAAAGGAAGTGTTCACGAAAATAAATTGAAAATATTATCAATTCATGAGAGCAAATTTTCTCTAAATATTTCTTATGTTTCTGAAGAGAAGGGTTGATCTATAATATATGTTTTAAACTTGAATTTGGCAGCACAGACGAAACTAAGAATTTGTGTGCTTACAGCTTTTAAAAAATTAGTAAATATCCTTCAACTCTTAATAGACTGTTAAAAAATAGTAAAATGGCTTCATGCTATCAATTTTCAGAAAATAAAATCAGAATATCTTCCTCGGTTTAGATGACTTTGGTCCTGGACTGGAATTCCGTAGATTCCCCTTGAGAATAAAATCATCAATCAGTTGGTACAAAAGGTGCATTATCCATGAGTGTATGTATATATACACATTATAATCATAGATAGATAAATAGATGGAAAGATTAATAGATAGAGAAACAAATAGATGGATAGATAAAGATAGATGTTAAATAAATAGATATCTAGATAGACAGATAATTAGCTGGATAAATAGATAATAGATTTATGGATAGATATGTGTATACGTAAATAGACAGATAAATGGTAAATAGATAACATAAGTTGCGTTTATCTGTCCCACGTTCAATATAATTTTCAATATTTATTTTTAAAATTATGTTTGGAGGCTTCCGTGACTTAATTTGATAATAATTACCAGGATTTGAGCTTGGTGGGAGAGTAAAAGAGAAAATAATCAATCTTCAACAAGTTTTTAATCTTGTTTTCTTGGAATATTTTTTAAAGAAACCCAAATTGTGAACTCTGTAAGTTGGAAACATAAAGCACAAAATAGAGAGATCCCAAATATGCGAAAGATTATAAGTCACTTATTTGGCAGCAATCCAACTTCTGCTGAATATAAGCGATTTTCTGACACTTATTGACAGCTTTTCAACTTTTGCTGCCAAATAAGCGATTTTCTTACACTTATTTGACAGCTTTCCAACTTCTGCTGAATATAAGCGAATATCTGACACTTATTTGGCAGCCATCCAACTTCTGCTGAATATAAGCGATTTTCCGACACTTATTGACAGCTTTTCAACTTTTGCTGCCAAATAAGCGATTTTCTTACACTTATTTGACAGCTTTCCAACTTTTGCTCCCAAATAAGCGATTTTCTGACACTTATTTGGCAGCTATTCAACTTCTGCTGAATATAAGGGATTTTCTGACATTTATTTGACAGCTTTTCAACTTTTGCTGCCAAATAAGCGATTTTCTGACACTTATTTGGCAGCCATCCAACTTCTGTAGAATATAAGCGATTTTCTGACACTTATTTGGCAGCTATTCAACTTAACTGCTGAGTATAAGGGATTTTTTTACACTTATTTGACAGCTTACCAACTTTTGCTGCCAAATAAGCGATTATCTGACACTTATTTGGCAGCTATTCAACTTCTGCTGAATATAAGGGATTTTCTGACACTTATTTGACAGCTTTTTAACTTTTGCTGCCAAATAAGCGATTTTCTGACACTTATTTGACAGCTTTCCAACTTTTGCTGCCAAATAAGCGAATTTCTGACACTTATTTGACAGCTTTTCAACTTTTGCTGCCAAATAAGCGAATTTCTGACACTTATTTGACAGCTTTTCAACTTTTGCTGCCAAATAAGCGATTTTCTGACACTTACTTGGCAGCCATCCAACCTCTGCTGAATATAAGCGATTTTCTGACACTTATTTGGCAGCCATCCAACTTGTGCTGAATATAAGCGATTTTCTGACACTTATTTAAAAGCTTTTAAACTTTTGCTGCCACAGTTTTTACAGTTATTATATTAATTGTTGAAGGTATTGGTTAATTTTCATCTTTTATTTTGTTATGAAGAAAATCACGAAACCTCGATTTCTACTCTGTTTCCAGTTTTTATTACTTTAGCTATGCATGGGATTTTCAGTTTTGAAGAAGAAAAAACATACGGGGTNCCCCAAGATTGTCCAATGCCGCCTATATCCATGAAATCTTTATCAGCGCTTTTATCTGTTTCCAAAATGGGAAAAATGTTGGATATTGTTTAACTGGGAGTAAACCACAAACTTTTTGATTTTATAAGAGTAGTCAAAGATTTATAAAGTAATTGAATCTTTGCCACAAACTTAAATTAACCTGAGCCGGCGATTTAAAAAATTCAAGAAAATACGACTCGGGTCTAAGCTGTTGTTGAGCCTTATTTACGGCTCGGGTTTTCGGATTTAAGTTGCATCTATTTTTCAACAGAATTTAGTTCATAAAACCGGTTTAATGTTGTATTTGGCGGATTTTCATAGTTGGAATTGGTGCATTCCGGGTTTTGATGAGAATAAGACCCAACATTGAGCCTTATTATTCACTAAAACCAACCAAGGTCGGTTTTATTTTCATTGGGCCTCAAGTCGAGCCTAAGATCTCGCAGCTGTCAATCACGTGACACAAGCTGTTGTCAGAGTTGGGTCTAAGATTGGGTCTTGAAGCTGCGTTTAAGGAATTAAGACTCGAGCCGAAGCTTTTAAATCGCGGGCTCTGATGGTGTAATTAAACCTTTGATATTTCAAACATAAATAATTTGAAATATATAAGGTTTACACCATCAAGTTGCAAAAAGATATATGTATCAAACGATTTGAGTTTGTGGCAAAGAATCAGTTTATTTACAGATTATTAATCCCTTGTTATGGAATTCTTATTTTAAATATGAAATGGTTTTCAGGATAACAGGGAAAAAAATATAGATAATCCAGAAAAGTGTGTATTTTTTATATCTGCTTTTTATAAGGACGCACCAGGGAAGAGAAGTCTAGAGCCCCCTGCAGAGGCGTAGTCAGGGGGGGGGGGTAATGGGGGCTGAGTCCCCTCCCCCTGGACCAATTAAATCTATAAATTTCATGGGGGTTTCAGGCCCCAATGGATTCTGATCCCCCCCTGGAAAGAAAAAATTTAAAGAACCCGCTGGAAAAAATCCTTACTACGCCCCTGGCCCCCTGTGCGTGGTGCGTGGTTTATTATCAAAACAAATTCTTAAGATATGTATTATTTGAAAATGTAAAATAGTCACTAATCAGATTCATGATAATTTATCATATTTTGATCAAAGATACACATGAAGCTTAATTCACATGATTTCACAGTTTACATCATACATTATATACAGGGTTACTTTAATAACTATCAACATCTCTTAAAGACTATATTTTTATTATTTAATAGGGTTGTATATATTTGTATCTCGTTAAGACGATCTGAACATGTATATTTGTATTAGTATTTCAAAAATGCGTTAAAAATTTAGGAAGTTAGTGATGTATGTTCTTTTATTCTTTTTCATCTCTATATTAAAGATTGGACATTATGTTATTTTAAGCTCAAAAAAATCCCATAGCGGGTAAAAACTCAGAAGAGGTTTATATAAGATGTGGAATAACCTGCCTCTTGACTTAAAAAGAAGCAACTCTCTAAGTATATACAAAAATAGACTACTAAATTCTCTTTTTTAAAGCTACATTACAATGTGTTATAAACCGAATTGCTATTCATGTAAAACTAATTAGATATGTTTTTATATGCTTTGATATTTGTTGTGTACATGTCAGAAAATTACTTTAAACTCTAGTTATTCCAATTAATGTATAAACTATTTTGCATAAGACCCTGATCTCTAATCGTTCTCCTTAAATCTATTTAATTGAAATGTGTTGCTATCATTATTGAAATTATGTGAACAAAAATAATCAAAACAGCCAAGAACTATTTTCCACCTAATTGCTTTATACTTGTACTGTTAATAAAATCATCAATTTGTAATTGTAAACGATCTGAATACAGATACATATGTATTTTAGCAATAAACTTTATCTTATCTTATCTTATAGAGTTAGGGTTTGATTGTATTCTCCGGAAAGAGAAGAGATTATTTCCTTGTATCTACGCGGCACACAATGCGGGATGAAGAGTCTACGCAGAGAATTCTCTCCTCTGATTGGTTCCGTCATTCCTATTGTCACCTGGGATACAGTTTCTGATTGGTTGAAAGGGTTTATTGTTGATTTATGCCCCTCCCTCACCTTTGCCTACAACACCTTTACATCACAGCAATAAAAACTAAAACAAAGGATGAGAAGATATAAATCTATATAGTATAGCTCTTCGCTCATATATATATATTTGTTTGTTTATTTGTATATATACGTCGGTTATAGCTGGCAAAACGGCTGGA